GGACTTGTTGGATCGAGACGGGTTCCTTCAGACGAGTAGGGCTGTGGGCAGTGTCGCTTTGCATAGTCACGGACTTGGGTGGTGAACGGTCCGGTTGTCGGGCATTTGCTCCCGGTCATGCGATGGGCGAAGCTGACCGCCGAGCAGGTTAGCTGCACTACGGACAGGGTGGCTTTGCGTCGGATTGCGTGTACCAGGTATAGCGCGAGGGTCATGTCGGATGCCGGGAGGAATGGAAGGTTCACTTTTGTGCAGAAGGCTCGAAACTTGGCCCAGTATGGTTCATATGTCCGGATCGTAGAATCGGCGCGGGACTGCGCGAGCATGTTGATCAGTTGGTCGTGTAACTTTGGGAGCAAATCTGAGCACAAGGTGTATATATTTTGAATTAGTCAAATGCCACTCGCAGTGCAATGATTGGGCTCTGCGGTAGTCCCATGCCCGAAAAAGCAGTTGAATGGGACCCTACGTCTAGGCATTGGCTTCCGTGTGTCAGAGGGATGTGCGCGTGGATGTGTGGTGCCCAAGTGCGTGGGGAGGGTTGCAAGAGTGGCCACCAGCTTGCGCCTGGCCAGTGCGGAACTATCAGTGTGAGTGATGCATGGGTGCGTTGTGCGTGATGGAGGACGGCTGGGACCAGTTGAGGTGGGGGGAAGGCGAAGTTGTTTTCAGGTGTCCACGCGATCGAGAACGCATCAACTGCAATGGCTGCCGGGTGGGGAATCTTTGAACAGAAGCGCGGCAGTTGGGTGTTGCGGGAGTTTGCGAAAAGGTCGATGGAGTGAGGACCCCAACGACGTTCCAAGATCCGGAACCACGGCGTTTTCAGCGCGTAATCGTCGTGGTCGACCATTTTTGAAAGCTCGTCGGCGTGTGTGTTGAGCTCGCGCGGAATCCATTCAATGATCAAGCTCGTGCCGAGCGCCATGCATGTTCGGATGATGCTCTTGCATGCCGTTGTGAGGTCGGGGCTGTGAGAGCCGCCTTTGCGAAGGATGAAGAATACGCCCTGGTTGTCCACCCGCACGAGAACGTGTTTTTGCTTGATCTTGTTCGCGTACGTTTGTAGCGCCCAAAGGACGCCTTCGATCTCCCGTCGCGTGCTGGACGTTCCTCGTAGCGGCTCTGACATGGTTGCGCTAGCTTCTTCGATGCCACCCGGAAATGTGGTCAGAGTGGCGCCCCAACCATGAGAGCTGGCATCCACGTGGATTACCGCGTCGTAGCTGTTCTTGACGTGAAAAGGTGCGCCGTTGAAACGGTCGAACTCCTCGAGCCAAAATTGGAGCTCTTCTGCTGCAGATGGGGGGATAACGACGCTGCTTTTCCATGACGGTGCGTCGTCGATCACTTGTAACATAGCATGGCTGAATGCGCGAGCTGTCGCGCCAAGTGCGACACCCATCGATGCGAGCATGCCAGTGATTCTGGCCACGTGGCGGACCGGGACTGGTCGGCATGCCTTGCTTGCGCTCAGGAGGTTCCAGATGGTTGCATGTAGTGAGGCTCGTCGGTCCGGACCGATGGAGAATCGGCCGGTATCGGTCTCGAGTTCTACGCCCAGGAATCGGAGACGCTGCGATGGTGACAGTTGTGATTTCTTCGCGTTTATCACAAGGCCTGCCTCTTTAAGATCCAATATCACCCGCTGGCAAGTTGCTTGCGCGTCCTCTTTCGACTGGCAGAGAAATAAGATGTCGTCCACGTAAGGTACGACTCGGATGCCTTGTTCTCGCCAACGCCGAGCTAGTTGCTTGATGAGCTGCGTGAAAACGAATGGAGCTGTCGCGAGGCCAAATGGTAGTGAACGGAATGCGTATGTGCGCTTATCAAATTCAAAGGCAAGGAACTTCCAGCACGATGGGTGGATGTCGATATGGTGGTAACCAGATTTGAGGTCAATGGAGAACATCTAGTCCCCAACGCGCGCAAGGTCGGCGACGCGGCTGAGCCCTTCGTACTTGAACTTGGGGATGATCAAGTTGGCGTTGACTTTCCTCAGATCAAGAATGAGCCTGCATTTGTCTTTTTGCTCGACCACGTTGAGTGGACTTATGCATGTAAGCTCCGTTGCGGCCATCGGAATTGCCGCTCCCGTCTCTATGAGTTCTTGGATGGCGGTACGTGTGAACGTGGCATGCGTGTTTGCCCCGACATGATTGCGATCGTGGAAATGTTGCGGTGGGCCGTGGCTCCATGGCAACCAGTAACCCTTGGCGATGACGGAGAGGACAAGGCTGCTGGGGCACCATGAGCTCCACCACGCAAATGTCGCGCGAAGACGACCGCGCATGTGTGTAATAGTTCTATCTGTAACGGCAAATTCGTACGGATCGTCGTGGCATGCCGCCTCGCACCGTCGTGCTCCTGTACATTTGAGGCCAAGTGGTATAAGCTTTGAGTATTCCACGTTAAAGCATGCGTGTGCATGTACTTGTACGGGCAACCATTGATCGAAGGTGTGAAGAGAATGAACAATTGAATGAAATGTCAACGAATGTGTCGGGAATGTTAACGCATGTCAACGCATGTCTCTTCTTCTCCTCGTTTCCCCCCCTTTTTTTTTTTTTTTTTTCTTGCCCCGTCGTCCACTTGGTAGGACATGGTTGTGCCTGCCCTTAGTGCGTAGGGGCTGATGCCTAGGGCCATGGACACCGTTGTCCATTGTGCTTTCTCTCATTCTCTCTTTCTCTCTCTCTCTCTCTCTCTCCCTCTCTCTCTCTCTCTCTCTCTCTCTCTCTCTCTCTCTCTTTCTCTCTCTCTCTCTCTTTCTCTCTCTCTCTCTCTCTCCCTCTCTCTCTCTCTCTCTCTCTCTCTCTCTCTCTCTCTCTCTCTCTCTCTCTCTCTCTCTCTCTCTCTCTCTGCTCCTCCTCTTGATTTTCATAGTCTCTTTGCCAAAACCATAGGCCTTTAGGAAGGTAGTTTTTATTAAATCAACCAACACACATAGCAATGCTTTCCTAGCATGCCACCAAGTGGCCAACATATGGGACCGAGGGGTTGTTGTTCCCCTTCCCTATCCTAGGCCCAAGCCTATCCCACCCTTTACTAGGGCTGGCCTCTTGCCATCGCAAACCCCTAGGGTTGCCCACGGTTTTCGCACTCAAGAGTGCACCGTGCCTAGCGCCCAAGCGCCTAGTCTCATGGCCCGCTCCTACACCACCGGAGCGGGTCCCTGGCCTCCATGCCCGTTCCGAGGGCAGGCACTTGCCACGTGGCCCGGCTGGCCGCAGCGGAAGCATGAGCCCCGGAACCCACGGCAATTGGCCGTGGGCGGGGGGCCTCGCTTGGGTAAGAACGGCATCGGCCCGTTGTTTCCACCGCGGTTGACACGAGCGTATCCGCTTGCCGCACGGTCCATCGCCGCCATGTCCGCGACCGCCTGCTTGAAGGGTCGAGAAGTCAGCAGGCTCTTCTGCTGGTACAGCTTAAAGCGCTTCGCCGTGCGAAAGTCGGAGGCGTCCTCCACTTGAAGCACCTCGAAACGCCCCGCGATGAGGTTGAGAGCGTGTGAGATGAGTTTGAGTCCGCCCGCCGGATCACCGCGCTGCGCCTTGTATTCGGCGTGCAGCAGGTACGCCCGCACGTCCTCCAGTAGCTCCGCTTGCTCTCGCACGGAGTCGTTGACGAAGGTTGCCGCCGAGAAGGTAAGATTAGAAGAAGGGAGGGGGGGAAGGTTTTCCGTGCCAATAAAATTAACATTGTTGACTGGAGCCTCACCAGCTTCATCTTCAGAGTCGTCGGTGTCGTTGTCGACCGCTGGAGCAGGGGGAGTGGCAGTCGCTGCGTCGTTGTCATGCCGGTTCGTCCGTGCTCCCCGTGTGCCTTTCTCCTTTTTTGCAGTTTCTTTTTTAGCCGACGCAGATGCGGCGGGTAGTGCAGTTTCCGCGGCTGTAACGCTGACGGGTTGCTGCTGTAGAAGGGACAGCAGCGCGTTGACCTGGTCCGGGGTCAACGCCTGCGTCAGCGCAGGGGCGGCGGTCGCGTCAGACGAGGAGACTGCAGTCCGCCTCCTCTGACGCTGACGCGACGGTCTAGCAGCGGGTGCTTGCGTGTGCTCGGCATCAGTCGCGTGTGCCGCGCCAGTCCCCGTCGCCACTTGCGCCACAGGTGCCACTGGCGCCACAGGCGCCACTGGCGCCACAGGCGCCACTGGCGCCACAGGCGCCACTGGCGCCACAAGGACCGAAGGGTGCTGCTGGGTTTCGGCGTTTTTGTGGACCTCGAGCCCGCCCAGCAGCACGTCCACTGCAGTCGGGGCGGAAGGTCCGTCTTCTGCCCGACGCTTGTTACGGCGTTCGCCCGCAGAATCGCGGGCGTTACGGTCGGAGTCGGAAGCGGGGGTTGACGAGTTCCTGTTGTTAAGTGTCGGCGTAGGTGCCATCGTTGAGCGATTGAAGTTGAAAATGTCGCTGAGTAAAGTAGAGGGTGACTCGCCTCTAGGAAGCGATTTAATCCTAGCCAGCTTGGAGGGAAAAACTACTCGAGCGGAAAATGTTGAGTGAGCCGTTTGAAAATTGAGAAACGTGGGTGGAGGGAAATGAGCTCCAACCCACGGTTTTTGTAGTTGGAGAAGGGCGTTTAGCGCGCTTCGACGATGCCAATTGTGCAGTACAAGCAGCTTCGCTTTCACAATACTCAATTTTAAAAAACACTACATGTGTGTTTAAAAATTATAATATCAGAGCATCTTTTCTGTGGAGTGCACTATTGCAGATTCAGTGTCAAAGAGATGGTTTTTAGGTACAGGGAATATATTCTTTATCATATTGCGATGAAAGCAAGCAGCATGAGATACACAACTAGCAAGGCCATGCAAAAGAATTCAGTCAAGAAATATAATACTGGTTCCACCCTTCCTGTTCCTGCCCACTACACCTTCGCGTTGTCAGACTCACAATGCTCCATCTCCCACCCCTTTTCCCCCAACCTCCAAATCACAAGCCCACCACCACTCATCCCCTACCTGCATCAGTCCATTACACAGCTACAGCAGCACTTTAAGCCTCCGGCTTGATCTTTTCGAGAATCTCCAGCGCGCACTTGGGAATGCGGGTCCCCGGGCCAAAGATAGCCCCCACGCCCTTGTCAAACAGGAACTGGTAGTCATCCGGGGGAATCACTCCCCCCGCAATCACCAGCACGCGCTCCATCCCCTGCGCCTTCAACTCGTCCAGCAGCTGAGGCACCAGCGTCTTGTGACCAGCAGCCTGCGAGCTCACACCCACCACGTGCACGTCAGCTTCCATGGCATGCCGTGCGACCTCTGCTGGCGTCTGGAAGAGCGGGCCGATGTCGATGTCGAATCCCAGGTCTGCCAGGCCCGTGGCCACCACCTTGGCGCCGCGGTCGTGCCCGTCTTGCCCCATCTTGGCGATGAGCACACGCGGGCGCCGCCCGGTGCTCTTCTCGAAGGCTTCTACGGCTGCCTTCACTGCTGCTAGCTCCTCGGTCTCCTGGCCGCCAGTTGCACGCCCGTACTCGCCCCTGTGAAGGGGTAGACCGTGGGGAGTAGGAGCAGAAGGAAGTAAGCGTGTGAGACCAAGTGAGCCAGTTGGGCAAGAGGCGTGGGGGAGGAGTGGGGTGGAGGCGAGGGAGAGGTGTGAGCAGCAAGCAGAGAGCAACACAGGCAGCAATGGTGCAAGCTCACGAAGGTCACAGCCCATGCGGTACGCACCAGTATGCGCCGGGTGGAGATGGTGAAATCAGCCACATGGCGGCCCCACTCAGCCTCGAGAGCATCACTGATCTCCCCCATTGTGCACCGCACTCGCAGTGTGGGTGATGAGAACTAAGCACAGTGCAATGCAGCACGCACCTGTAGGCGCCAGTAGAGATGGTGGAGTCGGCAACGTGGCGGCCCCACTCTGCCTCGAGCGCGTCACTGATCTCCCCCAGGGTGCACCGCACTCGCGCCGCCTCCACTGCGAGGGTCAGCAAGTTGCATCCCTCGCCGCGCTCCGTGCTCTTTGCCGCTGCTGTTAGCGCTGCCAGTGCTGCCTTCACTCTGGTAGGGAAAGGGTGAGTGCAGGCGTGGGGGTGCGTGTGGCGGATGGGGAATGGCATGGAGACATGGAGAGAGGAAAGAGGGCCATAAATGTGTGTGTTGGTGAGATGGGGAGTGGCAGTGGGAGTGTGCAGACGGAGAGAGCAAGAGCGCGCGAGAGAGAGAGAGAGAGAGAGAGAGAGAGAGAGAGAGAGAGAGAGAGAGAGAGAGAGAGAGAGAGAGAGAGAGAGATAGAGAGAGAGAGAGAGATTGAAGGCCAGATCACCCATGGGAGGGAGATAGAGAGCGAGAGAGAGGGGTAAGCAGAGAGAGGGAAGATAGAAGCACAAAGGCAGGAGGGAGGTAGGGTTGGAGGGAGGGGGATTTGCTGTACTTTTCATTGTCTCGGGAGGCCCTGAGCTCCCCCAGGCGTTTGACTTGGCTCTTGAGCACAGCAGCGTTGTCAATGTGCCTCAGCTCCACTCCCTCCTCCTCCTTGAGGCGATACTTGTTCACCCCCACCACCACGTCTAGCCCGCTGTCCACTCGCGCCTGATAGGGGAGAGCAGCAGGGAAAAGGGGAGAAGGGGAGGGGGTGAGGTGACTTGAAAGGTTGTAGATGTGCCAGGCCTCCACTCCACGCTCCTCCTCCTCCTCCTTGAGGCGATACTTGTTCACCCCCACCACCACGTCTAGCCCGCTGTCCACTCGCGCCTGATGTGGGGAAGAAGGCGAGGATGGAGAACAAGGAGAGAGGAGAGGAAAGACAAGGTAAGTTCCAATCAACTCAGCAGTCTGTAAATGTGCCTGAGCTCAGCTCCTCGCTCTCCTCCTCCTTGAGGCGGTACTTGTTCACCCCCACCACCACGTCTAGTCCACTGACCACACGCGCCTGATAGGGAAGGCGGAAAATGGGACATAAAGGATGGGGGAGTGAAGGGGGGGAAGAAAGGGACAGGTGTGAGAGGCAAGAGAAGGTGACACTTCAAATGACTCGGAAGTCTGTGAGAGTCCCTCGTTAGTCCCCACCCCCTCCCTCCCACCCAACCCCTCCCCCCACAAACCACACACCTGTTTGCGAGCAGAGCACTCTTCGATCTTGCGTTTGGGCATGCCAGGCATGATGGCCTTGGTCATGCCGCCAGCCGCCTCCACTTCTTCAATGATCTCCAGCGCCTTCCGCTCCAGCTCGCCAGTCAACACCTCCATCATAAACGACCCGCCCCAGGGGGCTTTCCTCCCTTGCCTCCCACCCTGCCTCTCCCTCCCCATCCTCACCTGCCCTCCCCTCCCCATCCTCACCTGCCCTCCCCTCCCCATCCTCACCTGCCCTCCCCTCCCCATCCTCACCTGCCCTCCCCTCCCCATCCTCACCTGCCCTCCCCTCCCCATCCTCACCTGCCCTCCCCTCCCCATCCTCACCTGCCCTCCCCTCCCCATCCTCACCTGCCCTCCCCTCCATCTCCCAACTCCCACCCCTCAAAACCAGACCCCCCACCACTCCCGCACCTCCCACCCAGCATCACACGCACCTGCTTGCGAGCAGAGCACTCTTCAATCTTCCGCTTGGGCATGCCAGACATGATGGCCTTGGTCATGCCGCCTGCCGCCTCCACCTCCTCTATGATCTCCAGCGCCTTCCGCTCAAGCTCTGCAGTCAACGCCTCCATCATAAACGACCCGCCCCACGGGTCCGCCACATGGGTAATACCCGTTTCCTCCTGGAGAATCAGCTGGGTGTTGCGGGCGATGCGTGCGCTCATCTCGGAGGGGAGGGCGAGGGCCTCGTCGAAGGCGTTGGTGTGGAGGGACTGGGTGCCGCCCAGCACGGCCGCCATGGCTTCCACTGTGGTGCGGATCACGTTGTTGTATGGGTCCTGCTCGGTCAGTGAGTAGCCGGACGTCTGGGAAGGAGGGAAGGGGGAGGGTGGGGGGCGGGAAAACGGGGAAGGTGTGAATGGGTGAGAGTGTTTGATGCGTCTCAGATGAGGCTGTATGGGTCTGCTCCGTCAGGGAGTAGCGGGATGGCTGGACGGGGGAAGTGGGTGGGTGGGGAGGGGGAGAAGTGAGAGAGGGGCGAAGGGGTGAAGAGCGGGAGGTGAGAGGGTAAACACCTCATAAAGAGCGTGCAAGGGAATGCAGAGGCATGTGTGATTGCACAACCCTCACCTGGCTGTGCGTCCTGAGGACGAGCGACTTGGAATTCTTGGGATTGAACTTCTCCTGTAGGCCAAAAGAGGGGCCACACGTGAGGGGCCGGCAGGGTGGGCAGAGAGATGGGGGCGAGAGGGAATGAATGGTGGGCAGTAAGGGGCTGAAGCGACAGGCATTGAAAGACAGTGAAACAGAGAGAGGCAGGGAAGGAGAGAGGCAGGGAAGGAGAGAGGCAGGGAAGGAGAGACTGGGGCAGCAGTGAGGGAAGAGCAGGGAAGCGATGCGGCAGATATGCGACTCACCTTGACTAGCTTGGCCCACACACGCCGTGCTGCCCGCATCTTGGCGATCTGCAACATGGGCGCAGGGGAGGAGAAGCGGGCGAACGGGAGGAGAGGCGGCGCCACGGGAGACACAATGTTGTTGCAGGTCGTTATTGAGAATTAAGGGAAAAAAACCACCTACAGCAGAGGCAGTTTGTACCCCCACGACATGCCCGCACCTCCAAGTGCTACCTTCATGTAGAAGTTCATGCCGATGGCCCAGAAGAAGGAGAAGCGCGGAGCCAGCTCGTCTCTTCATGCGTAAATGCTTGCCTCCACGTGCTAGTCCCCACCTCCCATGCACAACTCCCAACCTCCATGTAGACATCTCTACCCCCAAGTACGTCCCTACCTCCATGTACAAGTTCATACCTCAAGCCCGAACGTACCTCCATGTAGAAGTTCATGCTGATGGCCCCGAAGAAGGAGAAGCGCGGAGCCAGCTCGTCCCTTCATGTTCAAACCCGTACCTCCATGCACAACCCCTACCTAAATGCAGAACTCCCTCCCTACCCCCACGTGTAGGCCCGCACCTCCATGTAAAAGTTCATGCCGATGGCCCAGAAGAAGGAGAAGCGCGGAGCCAGCTCGTCCACGCCCACGCCCGCCTCCATGCCGCACCGAATGTACTCCAGGCCGTCCGCAATGGTGAACGCCATCTCTACAGCACTGGTAGGAGGAAGGAGAGGGGCACGGGGCGCACGCACAGCACGCAGCACACAGCACAGAGAGAGAGAGAGAGAGAGAGAGAGAGAGAGAGAGAGAGAGAGAGAGAGAGAGAGAGAGTGTACACGCATGAGTGGACGAGAGATGGAGAAGCAGGAAAAAAGGGAGAGGCACAAGCCCCTGAGCAGGTCGTACACTCCATCTCCACCACGCTGCAAAGAGTGGGACGGGGGAGGGGCGGACAAAGCGCACAGCACAGCCCCGGCCCTACTAGTCAGCCCCGGTCCCCGCCTTACCAGTATCCCCATAAACTCACCAGTCAGCACCCGCCTCCTGCATGTGGTAACCCGAGATGGAGATGGAGTTGAACTTGGGCATGAGCCTTGACGTGTACGCCATGATGTCGCCCACCACGCGCATGGACGGCGCGGGCGGGTAGATGTACGTGTTGCGCACCATGTACTCCTTCAGGATGTCGTTCTGAATCGTGCCTGACACCTTGGCTAGGTCAACACCTGGGAGGTGATGGGGCAAGGGGGCAGGGGGAGGGAGGCGCGGGCGGGTAGATGTAGGTGTTGCGCACCATGTACTCCTTCAGAATGTCGTTTTGAATGGTTCCGGATACCTTGGCCAGGTCCACACCTGCAGGCAAGGGGAGAGAGCAGATGTGAGGGGGCAGGGGGGATAGGGAGAGGGGGATATGAGGCGCGGGCGGGTAGATGTAGGTGTTGCGCACCATGTACTCCTTCAGGATGTCGTTCTGAATGGTGCCCGAGACTTTAGCCAAGTCGACTCCTGCTCGCGCGCACAGTGTAAAGAGAAGCGAGGGGAGGGGCGGGCAAAGGGGGCGGGGGAAGGGGAAAAGGAAGTGGTTTGAGCGGGCTTTGGTAGATGTACGTGTTGCGCACTATGTACTCCTTCAGGATGTCGTTCTGGATGGTTCCCGAGACTTTGATGGATTGCGCTGTGGGCTAGAGCTCAAAAGCTAGCATTCCCAGGCACCTGCGCACTCAGCTGATTCGCCTTGCCTGCAGCACCACCCCCCACCCCTCCCCCTCAACCACTCACCCTGCTCCTGCGCGGCGACAACGAAGAAGGCCATGACGGGCAGCACGGCGCCGTTCATGGTCATGGAGACGGACGGACATCTTGTCCAGCGGGATGCCGCCGAAGAGCACCTTCCCATCACACAGAACCACTGACCTTGCTCCTGGGCAGCAACGATGAAAAACGCCATAACCGGAAGCACGGCGCCATTCATGGTCATGGAGACGGACATCTTGTCGAGCGGGATGCCCCCGAAGAGCACCTTCATGTCCTCCACGCTGTCCACTGCCACGCCCGCCATGCCCACGTCTCCCACCACGCGCGGGTGATCGGAGTCATAACTGTAGGAATGGGGGAATGTGAGGGGGGAATGGGGGGGCATGGGGGGTAAGGGAGGAGCGAAGAGCACCTTCATGTCCTCCACACTGTCCACCGCCACCCCCGCCATGCCCACGTCGCCCACCACGCGCGGATGGTCCGAGTCGTAGCTGTTTGAGGGTGGGGGCATGGGGGGACGGATTCATTCATAGTGCGTCTTGTTCATGGAGGGATGCCCCCGACCAGCACCTTCATATCCTCCGCGCTGTCCACCGCCACTCCCGCCATGCCCCCGCCCCCCACCACACGCGGGGGTGGTCCGAGTCGTACCTGATAGCACGCCAGAGGGGGGAAGGAACGGGAGAGGTGAGAAGAGGGAGGAGGGAGGCGAGGAGAGGGAGGAGGGACGCGAGGAGAGGGAGGAGGGACGCGAGGAGAGGGAGGAGGGACGCGAGGAGAGGGAGGAGGGACGCGAGGAGAGGGAGGAGAGACGCGAGGAGAGGGAGATTGCCGCGGGGTTTGAGGTGTCTCGCGAGGTGAGCCCCCTAGTTGAGAAGTCATTTGTTCAGCCAGTGCGCATGCAGCACACTCGAGGCAGTGTTTAGGACACCGTTAGACTGCCTCGTGCTCGAGTGTGCTGCATGAGGCAGTCTGACGGTGTCCTAAACACTCCCCCCTCCCCCCACCCCCAAATCTACCGCCACCTGTTCCCCTCCCCTCTTCTTTCCCCCTCACGCAGCCATTCTCCTTCCCCTCTTGTGTGCCGCTGCCACGCTCCCCCCTAATGCCATCCCGCCCCTCACGCCTGCCCCGTCACGTCGGCCTGTGCGCTCATCCGCGGTGCGTGGCGAGGGCGAACGCCACGGACAGCCGCTTCTGCCCCGCGAGATGACTTCAGAGTCAACTTGAAGGAGTAAAAAGAGTAAAGAACACTAAGAAGACTCAACGGTCACCCCCCGTGCGCTCACCCGCGGTGCGTGGCGAGGTCGAAGGCCACGGACAGACCCTTCTGCCCCGCCGCCAGATTCCGCCGGTAGAACGCGTTCGACTCCTCCGCCGTGCTGGCGGAACGCGGGGGGAGGGGGAGCGGGGAGGGGGAAGGGGCGGGGAGGGGGAATGGGAAAAGAGGAAAGGGGAAATGTGCAATGCGGTTGGAGAAGAGGAGGGACGCGTGGACGTGGCGTGAGTGGTAAGGCGGGAGAGGATCGCCCAGGCGATTACTGGAAGGGCGAGAGCGCGTGACGAAAGCGCGTGGTAGCATTGAGGGCAGCGCCTACTGCAGGCGAGCATCAAGCAGATGGCGAAAAAATCTCGGGCGAAAAGGGCGACGAGAGGTTACCTGAAGCCGGCGTATTGGCGAATGGTCCAGGGGCGCTGCGTGTACATAGTTGCGTAGGGGCCGCGCGAGAATGGGAAGACGCCCGGCATCTCCGTCTTTGACTCCTCGGGCACGTCGGAGTAGGAATAGACCGGCTTGATCCAGATGCCCTGCGCGCCGAGCCGAGAGTGGGTTCACACGGACAGGAGTTCGCGAAGCAGGTTACAAACATCGTGCAAACGCGATCTAGAAAAGAAAGAAAGAAAGAAAGAAAAACTCGCATTCTAAGCCACGCAGGAATGCAGGAATGCGGCGACTGCAGGCGTGCGTGGACTGACCTCAGGCGAGAGTGTCTTGAGATCCTCAAACGCATCCCCGCCCTTGATCTCCTTGGACGCGCGCTTCGCCCACTCCGCCTGCACCGGCGTGAGCTCTGCCTTCGGCGCGTCGCCGTCCGCCGGCGGCGCGGAGCTCGACGAGCTGAACAGCCGCCCGCCGCTGCGCGGCGCTGCTGATGCTGCGGGCACCAGCGCGTCCACCCTGCACGCCGCGGCGGCCGCACGGCGCGCCTGATGTCAAAAGGATGAGGGAAGGGAAGGGAGTCACTGTCAGATCAAAGCCAGCACGAACCGCGCGTGAAAGAGGATCTGACCCGCTTTCCTCTCCCATTGAATATCCATGCTCTTCATTTTCCTCTGCATTCGTTAGCACGATAACATAGATTCTATATCGAAGAACGGAAGCTTCGAGGAAGCGTACCTGCGGGAAGAGCAGATGGCCTCGGGACATGATGAGCTGAGCCGCCTTTCCTCGAGCCATGGCGAGCAGACACAGACAGCAGCTGCTCGGTGTCAATCGGTGCGGATAGGTTCGCTGGCGATGGCAAGGGCTGACCTTGCAAGGTGGAGGTGACGGTGGAAGGTGGGAATGGGTAGGTCGTGGCTTGGAGGGTGAAAGGCAGGACTCAGGAGATATGCGGCGGATGCGTCCGGTGGGATGGCCGAGCGTCCTGAAGGTGGTCTGGTGTGGTGCAATCCCAAGAAACGCTACTGTTGCGTTTCTGGTGCTGTAGGGTGATGTCTTCTTGGTTGACGCAACTGTTGCACTGCAGCTGGTGAGGAGAGAGGAATGGTGGAGGGGAAGGGAGGGGAGAGGAGAGGAGCAGAGCAGAGCAGAGCCAGTTGCCTTGAGAGTTGTTCCCTGGGGCGAGGTCACGAGGTGGGGTGAGAGATCCCGACTGACGTGGCAAAACTTCCGGAGACTCCGCAGCCTGACGTGGGGCACACTCTTTTGCCTGGATGCTGTGAAAGTGCTGCCACGCTGGACGTTTCCGATTGCACGCGCCTTCATGCTGGCACCAAGATTTGAGGAACTCGAGATTCTGCCTCTGATTTTACGAGTCTGCTTTCGTCAACGGCAGCTCGACCACCGGTATGGGGTGCTTCGTCAGTGGCTCGGTGACTGCCTGGGCAGTTACTTGTTGCATTAGTAAGAGGCCTTACTTCTTGGATCTTATATAAATGCATGTGCATATCCCTTTCGTGCACATGCAATCGAATCACTTGTTCCATGATCTGCGTTCCTAACCAGAGGGATTCCCGGTATGAATATTATCTGTATTTCCAAGCTGGAAATTGAAAAAGTTCAGCCAGTATTCTGACCTTGAGCATTGGTGGTGACCTTCATAAGCTGAATAAATTCTTGAGCCTCCTCAGCTGTGGAGAGCTGGAGGGTCCGTCCATGCAGTGAAGCCAATCCTGTGCCTTCAGCCGGAAGCTCCATGACTGAATGCCACAGTGCGCACAGCAGAGGGAAGCAGACGATCAGGCACTGGACAAATGAGCAATCGCTCATTGATAATGAATAGTGACTCACAGACAATCAGACAAGGTGGTCGGGAGATGAATTTACACACGTGCAAGCAGACCAACACGAGATGGAAACGGACGTGCAAATTGGCTTATGGAAGGACTGACAGGGCGTCACTCACCAACAACTGTGGAGGATCCACTGGCGTCCATGCTTGCAGCGTGAGCCTCACTAGCCCCTCCATCCACAGGGACGGGCGGCAGTGTTGTGGGCGGCAACATGGGTTGAGCTTGAATTGCATCAGTGGCAGGAGAGATGGAGGCAGCAGGATGTGGTGTTGACGCATGGCCTGATGCATTGCTCTCTTCTTCTGCTGCTACTGCTGTTGCAGTGGCACGTGCTGTATGCTCACTCCCTTCTGCTGCAAGCTTGCTCCCACGCTGCACTTGTGATTCAATGGGTAACATGCTGCAGCAGCCAATCACGTCCCTTAGAGGCACCGCCCACGCCACCTGCCATTGGCTGGCTCTCTGGCTCCTGCTGTGCCGCCCCGCTGCTGCCACCCTCCACACGTGCAGCATGTGCGATGGTGTGACAATAACGAACGCTTCCTCTGGTGCCACTGGCGAGCCAGGCAATGACGATGCTGATACTGGTACCAATGCTGGTGCTGATGGTGCAGGGGCCACTTGGAAGCATGCCAGGGCATCCTGAGTGTGTGCGGGGAAGGGAATAGAACAGGCAAAAATAGACTGAGCATCGACAAGGTAATCAGCAGCTCTTATGATGCTGGGAAACAACTTTGTATGCAAGACCATGCCCCGTGTATCATCCCTCTCCGCCCCTCCCTTTCTCGCTTCCTTTCTCCCCCCCTTCCCTTCCACTCAGCCATTCCACGCATGAACTGACTCCCCTCACCTCATCTCGCCACGCCCCCCCTGCAGCCTCAGCCAGAGCAGCCTGAGCAGCAGCTTGGGAGTGGCAGTAGGGGGCGAGGGAGCGGCCTGTAAGAATTCCCAAATGTTTCTCACCCTTGTAGCACATGCACTCCCTCGCCCTCACCTCATCTCGCCACGCCCCCCCTGCAGCCTCAGCCAGAGCAGCTTGAGCAGCGGCTTGGGAGTGGCAGTAGGGGGCGAGGGGGCGGCCTGGACTCAGCTGCCTTGGCAGGCGCAGCGGGTGCAGAGCCTGGGAGGGGCCAGGGGGACGCGCCACGTTGCGAATGCTCTCTGCTGTTTTTGCTGCTAGTGCCAGTGCCGATGCTGCTGGTCGTGCCACCACTCCCAACACTCCCTGCGTCAGACCTGGGAGGTGAGAGAAGGGTGGGGTTGGGTGGGAGATGGGAGAATCGTAGTGGTGGCGTTTGCATTGGGAGGAGAAGAGCAGGGGCATACCGCATGGGCACCAAACAACCATTTGGAATGGAAACACCATGCATGCACACAACGCGCTGGCAGAAATGAGGGCATTTAGGGCATTTCAGTAGAATACCGCACAGTGTGTGGTGCACTGGGTTGCGATGTGGTGCAGTGGGGTGTAGTGCGGTGGGATGTAGTGCAGTGCGTTACTGTGTGGTGCAGTGCGAAGTAGGTGGGCCAAGCAAGATATCTCACCAGATGCAAGGCCGGGGAGACCGCCCCTCTCCCAACCCCTGATTGGACGGTCCAAGAGGCCTGTCACGCCCTGCTCATGGAACGGTTCAATGCACATGGGATGTGGGAGAGGTGAGAGGTGAGCAGTGGGGAAGCTTTGGCTAGGAGCGTGCATCAAGGCCACAGTTTGCAGTGATAAGAGCACAGCATGCAGCGTGGTTGAGTCAGGTTGGGAAGGGGCAGTTGATGGGAGCAGCAGGGGGCAGGCACCTGTATAAGTGAGGCGAAGAAGGAGGCTTCGTCTGAGGCGTGAGGGGCCCATGCCTGCCCCGCCCGCTCCATGCCTTCCTCGTTCTCCTCGTCCCATGCCAATGATGCCATCCCCTGCCATGCCATGCCATGGCACGCCATGGAGACAGGAAGGAAACCAGAGGAAGATGGTGGGAAATGCAAAGATGGTGGAGAGATGGCAGGCAGGAAAACCGGGGAGAGAGCGGAGCAGAGAAGGAAGGCAAGCAGCCATGCCAGGAGAGTGCAACAGTGCCACCACCCGTTGGCTTCTGCTGATTGGATTGTTACCTTGGAAGCGGCATGGGACATGCGGGAGGCGGAGTGTGAGAGAGCGAAGAGGGTGGTGCGCAGCAGACTCGTCCACCCTGCCCACACCCCCTTGGCGAACCCTGCCGGGCTCTGCAGGGCAATGAAAGAAGGACACAAAGCGCAGAGGAAGCTTCTTAAGGAGGAGAAAGGGAGTATAGTGCCAGGGTGATGGGCAGAAGTGAGCATGGTTAAAGAGGCATGATGATGGGCATATGGAAGATAAACGCAAGCAGTTGAAGGGGAAGCAATGGTGGAGCTATTTTTTGCAGCCCGCAGTATCTAAGCGAGTAAGGCATGAAAAGGGCAGGAGAAGGGCAAGATGGGAGAAGTGCAGGAGAGGGGCAGGAGAGGGGCAGAAGAAGGGCAGGAGAGGGGCAGAAGAAGGGCAGGAGAGGTGGTACCCGGCGCATGAGCAGTGTGTGGGTGGGCGAGGCGAGCAGGTCCCAGAGGCTAGCAGAGAGGGACGAGAGCAGCCCCACCGGGTTGCCTAGGAAGTCTGCTGATCCCACCACCTGCACGCAGGGCGGATGAATGGACGCAGGGGTATGGGTGATGGAAGAGGTGATGGAAGAGGTGATGGAAGAGGTGATGGAAGAGGCTTGAACAAGTTTTTCTTTGGAATGGAATAAGAGGCAATGAGTGGCCGCCTGAGCGTTGTGCTGCGAATAACTGCAACCCTTCCAAGACGCAGCATTTAGCTGTGGCTGGCAGGAGTGCCACCTTGCACAGCCTGCTCAGTGGCATTGCTACCTTGTATAGGCTCTCTCACTGGTCTCACCTTGTACAGCGCCTGCAGCAGCTGCAGCGTGTAGTGCCTCTCAAGCCTCGCTCCCAGCGACGCCGTTCCCCCGAAAAAATGCTCCAGCTGCCACGCGGACAGCCCCAGCGGCGCCCCCTGCACGTCCGCCAGAGACAGCACACTCCGCTGCACCACTGCTCCCAGCGCCCCCAACACCCCTTGCGCTGCCGCCCCCCTGCTCTGCTCCGCGGCCCATGGTGCACTGGCGAAGCTGATGGTGATGTGCATGGGGCGGACGGCCATGGTCTCTATGTACATGTTGGCCGTGCCTGGAATGTGGGGAGATGTGTTCATGCCGTGCCCGCCCACCACCCCCACCGCTGCCACTGATGCGCCACTGCACCAGATGTACACTCGCTGCATATGCTCCTGCCCCTGCTGCCCTCCCTCCTTTTTGTCCTCCTTATCTCCACCTCCCCTCCCTGCCTGTGCTCCAGCCACTCCCCTCACCCCCTCCCGTCCCTGCCCCCTTCCCCCGCCAGCATTTCCGGCTCTTCCTCTCTCCACAGCCTTGGTGCCGGAGGCAAGAGAGGGGGCATGGGGCGGAGAGGAAGGCGAAGGGTGGCCGAGTGCGGAGAGTGCAGCGATGCACGTGCGGGAGAAGTCCAGCAGGCGCAGCAGCAGATGCTCCTCGAGCTCTAGGGAGAGGGGGGCGAGGCTGGGGGGAGGGAGGGAGGGAGGGGGGCAGGAGAGAAGATACACATGAAGGATGAGGTTGGAAAGAGCATATATATATATATATATATATATATATATTTTGCATTTCATGACACAAAAGGCGAGCAGGTGCAGCAGCAGATGCTCCTCGAGCTCCAGAGAGAGCGGGGCAAGGCTGGGCGGTGGGAGGGGTGGGGGCAGGAGGGAAGATACATGTAGAGGAGGTGGTTGCGAGAGGTTCAATGATGGAAAGAAAAGAGCAATGGAAGATGGAGGTGATGTGGAGCGGAGACAAGAAGTCATGGTAAGGATAGCAATGCCAGCATTCCTCCACCTGTTCCCCCCCACTGCCAGCACTCACCCGACCCTCACACTCTCCACACAGAGTACAGAGCCCACTCTCTGCCGCCACGCCACCACCTCTGCTGCCACCGCCGCTTCCCCCCCTTGCAGGCTGGCTTGGCCTGGCGCTTGCAGGAGGGAATTGTGGGAAGGAGCTTCACGGTGGTGTTGGGCCGTGTGGTGGAAAACCGAGGAGAGCAGCAGGGAGGGCGATTGTAGTGCAGCTTGTAGCAGCGCGAGGCTTGGAGGGGTGTGGGATGGGTGGAGCATGGAGAAAGGGGAGGGTGAGGGTGAAGAGAAGGGTGATGGCGTGGAGTGAGTGAGGGAGAGAGGAGGAGGGGAGGAGGAGGCGAGGAGGATGGGGAAGAGGGCGTTGGGGAGTTGGTTGTCGAGTTGGAGGTGGGAGAGGAGGAAGGAGAGGGAGTGTTGGTGGGCGGAGCGGGAGAGGGAGATGGAGAGGCGATGTAGGGAGAGCAGTAGTAGCTCCTGAGGGCGAGCGTCTATAACGGAGAGTGCTATAAGGGGGATGCGCACACTCAGGAGAAATTCGAGTAGAGAGGAGGAGGAAGACTGGGGCACGGTGGGGGATTTGGAGGAGAGACTCCACGATTGGCGGTGCTGACTGGATGCCAGCTCAGCGTGACGTGGCATGGTGGAGTGGTTGAGACGGAGAGGGGGGAAGGAGGAGGGAGGAGGGAAGAGGTCGATGTCACACACAGAGAGCACCTGCACATGTGTGGGGGTGGGGGTGGGGGAACAGCAAAAAAAAAGGGGAAGGTAAGTCGGGAGACAGAGTGGTAGGAGGGGATGCACACAGGTGAGGGAGCGGAGAGGTGGACTGATGGCATTCAAAGATGCACAGTACACACAAAGGCAGCTATTCTGTCAGCAAAACACCTATTTATATAAAAAAACAGACAAACCAGTACTGGTGTCCGTACCCTGATTGGTCCTTGTGCTGACACGGATACTCTCAGGCGCCGCTGCTCCCTCTGTGAGTGCAGAGAGGCAAGAAAAGGTGAAGAGGGGAACGGGAGGCAAGGCAGGGAAAGGGAGGACAGCCGGACAGAGGCACAGGATGACGTAGGGGAACTATAGGTCGGGGAATAGTTGGGATAGAGTGCAAAATGGTGCAATAGTTTTAAGAATGGTGTGAGCAATGCATTGTCCATGGGTGCTTGTGACAAACAATGGCGGGTAAGAGGATGTGCAGGGAGAAAGAAAGGAACGAGGGGGTGGAGAGTGCAGAAGAGAGGGAGCAGAGGGTTCCAGGGGCCTCTCACTCACGGCTCATACCTGAGGGGTAGCAGGGAGGACGACAAGCGGGAAGTGCTTCACTTGGTCCAAAGGGAAGTGACCCATGCTGCCGCCCTCCCCTGGTACCTGTCCCATGCCATGGCAGCACATGCCATGCACCCAGAAGACACATGCCATGCCCGCATGACACACCCATGGCCCATGATTTGTGTCATATAGCCATGATGTGATGGCATGCCAGCATGTTGCCACAGCCAGGAGGAGGAAGAATCATGTCGTCGACAACACAACCATCATGTGATGTGAGAGGAAGGCTGACAGCGAAGACAGAGTGTGAGGGCACGATACCACACGGCAGGGCCGCCAGGGATAGATGCAATAGCAATTGAAGGAGCGAGCATGCATCATGTGCTTGGCACTTGAAAAAAAGCCTGTCACATTCTGACCTCAAGCACGAGGCGGTGTGGGCGGCAGGGTTCGTCCCATGCGTAGGGCGTAGTGGCAAAGGGTTTGAGGGAGTCAGTGTGGCCCAGCCCCTCGCACCCGCGCTGGTAGAAGCGCAGCACCTGGGAGCAGCATGGGAGTGGGGAGGGGAAAAGGGGGGTTCCTTAGTCAATCCTCTGCTGAGAGCTACCTGTGCGTCCGTCACCCCTACCCTACATGCCCCCTGCACGTGCTCACCTCGCGGGAGCAGTTGTCAATGCGAAAGGGCATGAAGCCAGAGTCGTCCTCCCCAACCACCACCAGGTACGTGCCTCCCCCACTCCACTTGCCACTGCCCTCGCCTCCCCTGCTGCTGCCATCATCGCTGCCAACCCTCGCTGCCTCAGTGCCCCCAGAGATCCCACCACTGCTGCTGCCGCCTCCACTGGCGTTTGTCGCAGCACTGGCAGCAGCAGTGGTAGAAGCAGTGGCGGTTGTATGCGTGGCGGCAGCGGCAGCGGCAGCGGCAGCAGGGTGTGGCAGGTGGGGTTCGGCGAGCGACACGTCGACCCTCACGATGCGAGTAAGGGCGAGGGGCGAGGACGGCGAGGAGGAGGGGGAGGGGGAGCAACGCAGCTTGAGCTGAGTGTCGCCTAGCTGGGAGGGGCGGAAGGCACCCGACCACTCACAGCTGCTGTCAGCCAGGCGCAGCGACAGGTAGAGGCGACTGTGTGTGGAAGAGGGGGACGGGAGAGAAAGGGGGCGAGGGTTTATTAACGCAGCTTGCGTTGAGTGTCGCCAAGCTGGGAAGGGCGGAAAGCACCCGACCACTCACAACTGCAATCAGCCAGACGCAGTGACAGGTAGAGGCGACTGTGTGAGTGGGGGAAGAAGTGGGGAAAAGGAGGAGGAGGGGTCAAGTGGGGTAGCGTGGAAAAGAGGGGAGTGAGAACAGGCAGCTTAACTCGTGGTAATTGGGTTGGAGTTGCGTGGTAGCAAGCGAGTGTCACAGATTGAGACTGGAGTGCTGCTGGGGAGGAGGGCAGGTGGGTGTTACCGCTGCAGTTTGGTGAAGTGGATGGGTGCGTTGCCCCCAGCCTTGATGAGAACGTGCCGGTCCGTGCCGTGCTGCTTCACCCGTATGTCCGCTGACAGGCTGTTGGCTAGCACGTACCTGGCCGAGTGAAGGGGGAGGAGGGAGGGGTGGGGGACACAGGAGAGACAACAGGCTAAGTTGAGAAGAAGAAGGGGAGACTGTTACAGGGCGAAACGACTGAGCAATGTAACATAGGGATGCATGGTGCACAAGGCGAAACGCTTCGATACACAGAGTGCAGCAATGGCAAGCGCAGTGACGAGCAACGGCATTCCGGTAGCACGGCATGGGGCAGAGACCGAGGGCGAAGGGTGACGGTCTTGGCACGGCCAGCAGAGGCACCAAGGGTGTCATGGCAGGTGAGACTCAGTGCGAATGCACCTCCACCACCACCACCACCACTGCTGCCGCCACCACTGCCACTGCCACCGCCACCACTGCTGCTGTTCCCTGCTTGCTGTGGAATCAACACCTCTGCCACTCCCCCTGTTGGCTCCACTGGGATAGCTGCCGACCAACCAGAGAGCGACACGTGGCTCCAATCAGGCACGGTGGAAGGCGGGGGGTCATTGAGCGAGCGCATACTGCCAGCACCACCCAGACCAGCAGCTGTGGTAGTAGAAGAAGCAGCAGCAGTACCCCCCACTCGCAGCACAAGTGCTGGCTGGGTGGGGTGCAGCCCTGCTGTGGCCCCAGAAGCAGCAGAGTCGGCATCAAGAGCGGGTGCAGGGGGGGCTGGAGTGAACAGAGCCATAGGGGGTTGCAGCGTTCCTCCTCCCTGGCTTATCTCCTCGCTCCCTCCTGCCCTGCGCTCGCCTCTCGATCCTGAACCCCTTTCCCCAGCTCCCAAGTTTGCGGCTGCAGGGCCGTGTGACAGCGAGCCATCAGCAGCAACGCTCACTCCTCCACTCATCCCAGGAAGCACAGCAGCCAACCCTCCCACTGGACCGCCCCCTGCTGCGCTGCCAGCTGGCACAAGCGGCACGCCGCTCGCCACCAATGCAGTCAGATGAGATGCTGACGTGGCAGCTGCCAGGCTGTCGCTTGTGAGAAGGGCGGGGTGCGGGGGGAGGAAGAGGTGGGAGGAGGGCGTGGCGAGGAGGTGCGCGTCGGAGAGGCAGAGGGGGAGGTCGGTGGCGTTGACGATGGTGAAGGGGGCTAGCAGGTGCAGGCAGCGGGAGGCAGAGGCAGGGCGGTGCAGGTGGATCAGGTGCAGGGGCACGGGGGGACCTGATGGGACACAGAGGAGTGAGATGAGATGCACAGGGGTCAGTACAGGGGACGAACGAGTGGCCGGGATGAAGGGTACTGAGAAACTGCTCAACTGACCTGATTGGAGCCTGGAGGGAGGCTGCGAAGAGGAACCAGTGAGTGTGGATGCATCGCAACATCGCATAGCATAGGATAGAATTGGTCAACGCTGCCACTTAGTCATGTCACAGCAGCACCCACCTGTGACGCGAGTGAGCAGCAGCTCTTCCTCCTTGTGCTGCTGCCACTCTTCCCTCTGCCCCTTCTCCCCCTCCTCTCCTTCTTTCCCCTTCCATCCCCTCTTCTGTCCCTTTTGCCGCCCGCTGTTGTTGCTGTCAGCAGGAGGCGTGGGAAGCAGCAGAGGTGGGGATTCCAGGAAACCGGGGACGATCAGTGTGGCGTGAAGGGTGTGGTGGGCGGCGAAGTCAAACACCTCCACTGATGAGCCCTGTGAATGGGAGGAGCAGGGTGACTGTGAGGCTTGGCGGGGAACAAAGCTGGGGACTGGCCAAACCTTTTACTGATGAGCCATGAGAAGGTGGAAGGAGACGTGGAAGGGTTGGAACCAAACATGTAGGGTGTGGTACAAAAGATGCAACGTCACGGAGTTTACTGTGTGAGCTGGGAAGGGCAGTGAAACTGTGGGCACAGGGCAGCTTACAGGAGGAATGTTGATGGTGGTTGGTAGCAAAACGTGTTGGTCTGTGCAAATCAGTGTGACAGTAACCGGGACGAGCAGAAGATTCTTCAACACAAGAGGCGCTGCGAGGCACAGCTGCTGCTCCCACGCCATGCCCTCTTCCATTGCCTCACCCCCCTCTCCTCCTCTTCCTCCTCCTCCGCCTCCTCCCCTCTCCCTCCTCTCCACTTCTCCCTCCCCACCCACCGCCCACCATACGTCACCCCCTCCTCTGCTGTTTCTCCTGCCTCCTGCCCTTCGGCTATCCATGGGTGCAGCAGAGGAGGCGAACACAGGAGAAAGGCAGCCGATGCTGGCAGCACTGCCGCTCCTGGATAGAGGATAAGAGGGGCTAGTGGTTGGGGGTGATGTGGCGCCATGGTTTGCTGTTGCCACGATGGCAGTGCCTGCTGACGTGGCAGTAGGAGCAGGAAGGTGCGGATTGGCTAGGAGAGCAGCAGCTTGGGCTGCAGCAGCTGCTGCAATGGCGACGGCATCGGCGCTAGAGGACGAAATACGGCGGAGGGTGTGAGGGGGGCTGCTGGGATTTGGGCGGCTGGTGGCGGTGAGGGGAGGCGAGTGGGAGCGGTGGGCAGCAGCGGTGGCCTCGTGAGGTGGACTGGTGACAGGCGTCCGAGCGATGGGGCAATGCGAGGGTGCCACGGGTGGTAAGCTGCAGGTGAATGGGAGTAGAGGGACAGGCAGGGAAAAAGAGCAAAGGCGTGGTGAGGCATTAGCGAGAAAAGAGCGTTGAGGAAGGAGTGCAACAGCACAAGCGAGAGGTGCAAGGGTGGATCCAGGTTAAAGGAGCAGAGGCGAAGAGCGGTACCTGAGAGGCAGAGGCGATTGGAAGGCGGTGAGGGAGAGGCAGAAGAAGGAGGGCGGAAGCAGGTCAAGAGAGGCAGCAATTCCGGGAGTGGAGATGGAAGAGGACGAAGCAGAGCGGGTCAGCAACGGTGCCACACCACCGGTGCCGCCGCCACTACCAGTGCTGGTGATAGCACTCATGCTGCTGTTGCTGCCAGTAATATCCAACCCACTGGTGCCAGTGCAAGTGACAGTGGCAGCAGCGGGGGCCAGCACAGCATCATCGAGCCTGGTCTCCTCGCTCCACGCCCACGGCCCCTGCACTGGTCGCCAGCGGAGGGAGGTGGACGAGGTGAGGTGCAGCGGAAGGTGCAGAGTGCTCTTGGCACCACACACCCCCACGTCTTCCACAGGCAGATCGGGGCGGTGGGAGTGATGAGCTTGGAGTAGCAGGGGCGTGTGCGAGGCGTTGACGATTGAAACGAGGGAGCGAAGCACAAGCCGGTGCTTGCGCCCCTCTCGAACCACCTCTAGCAGCACTGTCCCGTGCACCCGCGCTGCCCCCCCTTCCACGGCCGCCACCCCTTGCAGCCCCACCCCTGTCGCCCCGTCCTCTCCCCACCCCATTCTGAGCCCTTGCAAAGCCATGGCCTCGGCCCCCCTTTCCCGTTCACATCTGCTCCCCCCTGCTACGTATGAGACAGGGAAGGCCAGCCGCGTGCCGCCCTCCAGCAGCAGCGGGCGGCAGACTGAGTCACTGCCGTCCACTCCCACTCGCACCCACAATTGCCGGCCTGCCATTCCTGCTGCTGCGGTGCTGCCTGTGAGGCTCGTTGCCCTTCCTCTGCTGCTGCCCCTCCCATGGCTGCCTGCCTGTGCCTGGGGGATTCTTGAGGAATGAGAGGCGTGGTGTGCGGTGGAGTGTGGTGCAGTTGCCCCGAGGGAGGAGGAGCGGGTGCGAGGACGAGGGAGGCGAGAGGAGAGGGAAAGAGGCAGGCAGGCGCCAACAGGCACTGTGATGTGCGGTGGGTTGGTGGGAGGAACGGTGGGTGCTGATGCTGATGCAGAAGTTGGTGCTGATGGTGGTGCTGAATACTTGGGGTCTGAAAAGTCCTCGCTGAACCAGAGGTGCAGCGTCACGCCGGTATAGTTTTCCACCCAATAGTGTGATGACACGTGGCGCGCCTGAGAAGATGAGAAGGAAGGGCGGGACGAGGCACGATGAAGAGGCGAAGCACAAGCGCAAGCAAGGAGACACAAGCGCAAGCAAGGAGACACAAGCGCAAGCAAGGAGACACAAGCGCAAGCAAGGAGACACAAGCGCAAGCAAGGAGACACAAGCGCAAGCAAGGCGACACAAGCGCAAGCAAGGAGACACAAGCGCAAGCAAGGAGACACAAGCGCAAGCAAGGAGACACAAGCGCAAGCAAGGAGACACAAGCGCAAGCAAGGAGACACAAGCGCAAGCAAGGAGACACAAGCGCAAGCAAGGAGACACAAGCGCAAGCAAGGAGACACAAGCGCAAGCAAGGAGACACAAGCGCAAGCAAGGAGACACAAGCGCAAGCAAGGAGACACAAGCGCAAGCAAGGAGACACAAGCGCAAGCAAGGAGACACAAGCGCAAGCAAGGAGACACAAGGCACCTTAAAGAGGCTGCTTTTGAGTCGACTCAAAAGCAAGCAAGGAGACACAAGGCAACTTAAAGAGGGGAGCCAAGGGACGGAGCAAGCAGCAGCGATGCGAGCTTCACAGTGAGAGCTGGCATGACGACAGCAAGAGTGGGAAAGCTGGCATGACGACAGCAAGAGTGGGAAAGCTGACTCTCAACAATACGTGTGGCACCGAAGGTGGTGGACGTGGGAGTACATAAGCAGGTGCCACAATGCTTTATCTTGCGCCATGCTTTTGCAGAGGTGCAGGATCGAGCATAAGCACCTGAGGGTTGGAGAAGAGTGAAGCTGCAATGCATGCTCCCTGCAGTCATAAGGGAGGGTGGACGAGAGAGCAACATGTGGTGTGTTGAATGTAAGAAACAATGAGTGGAATGGAAAGCATGGAACATAAATTAGAAAAACTTGCCCAGGGTAGGTGATGAATACATCAGGGTAGAGGAAAGAAATGCATCCAAGGCAGAGGAGAGCACAGGCGGGCATCATAGAGGAAAGGAGGGCATCAAAGGGCAGAGGAGACAAATTTTACCTCGAGGAGTGATGGCGTGAAATTGAGATTGAGAGGATGGGAGGAGGTGAGAGCCAAGGAGGTGAGAGCGGTGGAGGAGGCAGAGGGAGAGGAGGAGGAAGTGGAGAGGAGGGGTGGAGGGAGAGTGGAGGCAGAGGCAGATTGAGGGTTGGTGAGGGAGGAGAGGGAGTGCAGAGAGGCTGAAAGCTGGAAGGGCCACGGCTCACAAAGAGGCTCTAAGGCAGCCTGAGAGGGGGGTAAGGAGGGAAGAGGGGGAAGGAGCAAGGAGATGGCAAGCACATGAAGGAAATAGTGCAGGAGGATGGAGGATATGAGGCTGAATGAAAAGCAGTGTGTGTTCAGCTTCAAGGTCATAGGGACAAAAAGGTGGTAGTGGAGTTTGGCGGCAAATAAGACTTACTGCTACGGCTGCTTTATCTCGCGCTGCTGCGAGCTCGGTTTCACAGTGACCACCCACCTTGTCCTGGTTGAGATAGTGCAGAGCGAGAGTGGTAGCAAGGGAGGCGTGCAGGTGGCCACTGGGCAGGCATGCAAGGGCGTGGCCTGCTGTGGTGCTGAGGGAGAGGTAAAAGAGGGGCTCGCTGTCCTCCTCACTCTCCGCCACCACTGCCACCAAGCTCTCCACGCCCACAACCACCAACGCATCGCACGCAGCGCTGCCGCTGCTACTGCTGTGACCCTCCTTGCTGCTGCTCTGAAGTGCTGCACTTTCTTGCTGCTGCCTCTTCTGTGTTGTGCCTTTGCCATTGCTGCCTTCTGTGATCCCTTGGCGAGATGTTGCCTGCCCAGATACAGCCTGCCCAGATGATGCCTGCCCTGGCACCTGAAAGCTTGTGAGGAAGTGCAGAATCTCGGGCGAGCAGCGTGCATGCACTCGCCCCAGTGCCACGTGAGTAGCAAAAGCCAGCGTGGCATGTGGGGTGAAGGGAGATGTGCCCAAGCTACCAGTGGTAGCTGCAGCTGATGCTGCTGTTTGTGGTGGTGGTGGGGCTGGTGTGCGCCTCTCATCACCATGCCCTTCAACGCCAAAACCACCCTCTCTATTCTCACCTACGTTTTCCTGCTCCCTTCTCTCCAGTTCCGCTAGATCCTTCAGGCAAATCATGCCAAGTGCACTGCTGCGACCACCAACACCACCACCAGAAACCGTGCTGTTGTTTTCACGTATCTCCTCTGCATATCTCCCTAATGTTGAACCTCCCTCTTCTCTCACTCTGCCCGACCCGAAGTCCCCCTCCTCCTCCACTCTCCCAACACCAGCATCAACCCCATCTGCACTCATCGCTGTTACACTGCCCGAGGGAGCAGCAGCCGCTGCCAGTCGCACCTGCAGCCCTGCCAGCTGCAGCAGGCGCATCGAGGCAGGAGGAGGAGGCGGCAGACGAACAGATGGTGGGTTGGATGCGGTTGGGGCAGATGCAGGGGCAGGGGCAGGTGGAGGAGCATCTGTAGGAGGAGGCAGGAAGCAGCCAAGGCGGAAGGAGAAAGGGTTGGAGCTTGGAGGTAAGGAAGCAGCATTGAGGGAGGCAGGAGGGAGGTTAAGCGGGTCAGGCGTGAACAGGTCGGCAGCACCAGCAGCACTGCCATCACCACTGCCGTCCCCATGGCCCACCTCAGAATGCCCCAGGCCAAGACGGCGCACACAGGCAAGTTCCACAGAGTGCAGGCCAGCAGAGAGCTTGGCTCTGCTGAGACTAGTACTGGCAGGTACAGAGGCTTGCACGTGGGAGTGCACATTCCTCACACGCACCACCACCGCACTGCACCCCTCCGTGTTGCTCGCCCACTCCCCTGGGAGTATACCTGGGCTGTGCTGATGTGTCGTGGTGTTCGCACTCCTCTGATGCTGTGCTGCCTGCTGTGTGCAGGTGTTAGGAGCAGAGGGAGTGGAGGTGTGCTGCGAGGCACCCTGGGAGGAGCGCTGGGAGGTGCTATGACTGGGAAGCACAAGAGTGAGCCCATCCACCTTCACTCCTGCATGCACCTTCACATGCACATGTGCTGCTGCTTCTGCTGCCACAGCTACTGCTGCTGCATTACCACCATCACTGCCTGTGCCGATTTCACCAACCAAGACGCCAATTGCTTCCTCCTCTGCTCCCCCAGTCACCCCCTCCTCAAGAGACGCACAGAACAGCCCCTCCATATCACCATGCCCTACACTACCACCAGCCTCACCCAGCCTCACGCCCATCATCACCGTCAGGCCCTCAGCCCCTCTCCTCCCAATCCCCTGCGCCTCCCTTACGCCCGATCCATTGCTGCCTCTTGCACGCTGACCCCCTGCCACCTCTGCACCTCCTGTGTCGCCTCCTTTAGGTGCCTTAGCGACAAGCAGGGAGGCGAGGCGAGACCAGGCAGGGAGGAAGGCCCAGAGGGTGGGGAAAGGGAGCTGAACAGTTGCATGTGTAGCCTGGATGTTGTAATGGGGGTCACCACGTGTTTGTGCTGGTGGTGGTGCTGCTGGGACTGCTATGTTCACTGGGGTGGAAGGCGGTTCTTGGGATAGCAGCGAGAGGCTTGCCAGAGGTTGAGAAAGGGGATGTGGGGACTGTAAGGGGGGAGGAGTACAGGCGAGGGAGAGGGGTGCAGCAGCGGTGGTGCGAAGGGAATGGGGTGAGGGTGGGGTTGAGGTGGAGGAGAGGGAGATGGCGAGGTACGGAGACAGGCGGGTATGAGCAGCGTCACGAGTCACAGAGCAGCCCCTCTCACGCTCGATCACAAAGAGAGGCACAGCCACTTGCAGAAACTCCAGCACTGCCGCTGAAATCTCTCCTGCAAAAAATCCTCCTGCCCTCGCCCCTTCTGGTGATGGTCCTCCAATTGCTGCTTCCCCTGCTGCTTGTGCATCTGCTGCCATTCCTTCCTGTGAAAAGGCAGGTGGCGGCCTTGCCTGGCCGCTGGCTGAGACTGCAGCAGCACTACCACGCTGTTGGGAAGTGCTTGCCATCTCTGCCTGTAAGCTCCAAAGGGCAATACTCTGCCACGTGGCCTTCACGGATTGGCCAGATGGTTGCAGCGCTGCAGCGCAGCGCAGATGATCGATGGAGAGGAGGGCGACGAGAGGGCCAGGGGGAAGAAGGAACGAGGGGGTTGTGCCATGAGCGGAGGAGGAAGGGGAGGATGGGAGGGAGGTTGTGCCTCGTGTGATGTGCAGGTGCAGGTGGTGCAGGTGGAATCTCAGGGCGATGGGAGGGGAGGGCTGCTGGGGGGGGGGCTGGGGCGGGATGAGGGCGAGCAGGGCAGCGATGGAGCCTGAGAGAAGGTCCGCCTCCCTTACAGGGGAATTCTCTGGTTGGAAGGGAGTAGGAATAGGAGAGAGAATGTGAATGACACACGGAGAATGGACAGAGAAAATTAGAGCCAATGCAGCAGATTAGAGCCAGCATATTGATCTGTTTTGTCGTTGGATTTTCTATCTAGCATTCAGAACTGATGATTTCCACACAACAACGGCATAGTCAGCTATGGCACACGCTGCACACACACACCCATGAGGAGCAGTTGGACCGTGAGCACTTGAACCATAACTCGCATCCACTCATGCGGGCTGCCCATCGCTGCTGCCTCCCCTCCTGACTCCACCATCCCTGATGCTGCCTCAGATCCCACGCCCACTCCTTGTGCTGCGCCCTGCAGTGCAGAACCGGGCTGGCTGCTGCCCCCAGCAGCCTGTGGCAGTGCCACGTGCAGCAGAACGTCCACTCGCTGCACCAAAGGAATTCTCTCCCCCACCCTCCCCACCACCTCCTCCTTTTCCTCCCCTGCACCACTTGCGCCTCCACCAGATACCACCTCGCAGAGCGGCAGCAGCTTGCCTGTGGCCATGCTAACTTTGAATCCCTCCACCCTCACGTCCACCGCCTCCCATTCCGCATTGTCTCTGTTCCCACTGTTCCCTTCTCCGACCACTGTGCTCCCTCTTCCTGTCTCACCCTCCTCGCTGCCTCGTCTCCCGCCCACGTTACTGATTTCATGCTGCTCTCTCCCATCCAGCCATGTGATTGTGCCAGATGAGGACCAATCCCAGCATGCCACGTGGCGTGGGAGGTTGGCAGTGATGAGAGGCAGCTCAATGATCAGGCACGGATGGCCCAGCCCCTCTCCTAATGTCGTTGCTGGTTTGATCCCATTGGATCCACGTGGCTGAAGCTGATTGGATGCGGATGGCTGCAGCAAGCTCTGTGGATGCCCTAAGGGAATGACAGCGATCTCACACCCCTCTACCCTCACAGCCCCCTCCACTCTCATTCTCCCTTGCCCTTGCTCCCACTCCTCCCCTTCTCCCTCCGCCTCACCTCCCTCTTCCACCATTTCCCATCTCAGGGGGCTATCCCCCACAGGGCTGAAAAACTGCGCCCCTGACCAGCTGTCGCCCTCCCCCGACCCACTCCCCAGCCCGCCCACACTCTCCCCTTCCCCCCTCTCCCGCTTCCCCTTGCCTTTCCCCCCCAAAGGGCTTGTTTGGCTGCTGCTGCCGCCCCCACCCGCCCATCCCCCTGACCCTCCGCCTCTCAGCTGCTTCGCACCCCCACCTCCCCGAACAGCAATGCCCCCTCTCAAGGGTGAGGGGGAGAGGCGGGTGGTGGCAGGGGAAGCAATGGCAGTGCGGGCTGCTCTGGGCTTTCCTGTGTGGTGGCTGGATGGAGACGGGGAATCAGAAGAGACGGACATAAAGAGAGGGGTGCGTACAGGGAGTGTGATGTGGGGAGAGGGTGAGGGGCTAGTGGCAGTAGTGAAACTTGCGTGCTGTGACTGCTGCTCCTGCTGCCCCCTCTCTCGACCGTGCTGTGCAAGGGGCGACACTGAGGCAGGCTCCCCACTTCCCCCAACAACAGCATGGGTCAAAGGAGCAGTCACGGAGGGAGCAGGGAGGTAGCGCGTGACGTGCCCCACAAGCCCATGTGTGAATGGCTGTGAGACCACGAGCAGCAGGCGGGAAACAGCCACATCCACATGCAGTGTGGCGCCTGCCCCAGGCACACCCTCCCCTGATGCACCTGTGTGAGCGCCATGGGCTGCAAAGGTTATGGTGCCAGGCTGTGCTCTTGGTGCCCACACACTGCCCACTATCACCTGCTTCTGCTGCTGCTGCTGTTGCTGTTGCTGCTGCTGCTGCTGTTGCTGTTGCTGCTGCCCTTGCTGCAGTTGTAGAGTGCTTGGTGGGGAAGTAGAAGCCGAATCTGCAGGGAGATGAGGAACATAGCGCCCCCCGCTACCCACAGGGCCCCATACCTCAAACCCACTGATGCGCCCACAGGATGCCCATGTGGCTGGCAGTGATTGGCCCATCACGTGCTTCACATCTGCCTGCACCAGTGCCTCACTCAGAGAAGCAGTTGCCACTTCCACCACATACCCCTCACCCTCCCCTTCCTTCCTTCCTGTTATCTCATGGATCCTCTCTACCCCTCCTTTCAGTCCTTCTAGTGTTGCCTCGCCCCCCTCCTCCATCAGCCTAACCACCAATCCAGTTACTCTGCCGTCCAGAATCAGTTCTGTGCCGCCTGCACCTGAGTTTTCAGAAGAAGGCAGAACGACGTGAGTGGATGGGCCGCGGGTGGGAGCAGGACGCAGAGAGGAACTTGTTTGAGTGGCAGTGCCACCATCGTGCGAGGCAACACCCCCAGAACCAGCAGCAGCGTCAGTGACATCATCTCCAGACACCTTCTCAAACACAACCCGTGCACTCTGTCTCTCCATCCCCTGCCGTCCCACTCCAACCCGCCCCCTGGACCTCTGCGGACTCACGCCCAGCGCACCAGTGGCCAGTACTGCCGGCGACAGCAGGGCGTCAGTAGTGGGTGGGGGAGAGTTGAAGGGTGAGGAGGCAGCGGAGGAGAAGGAGCTAGAGGGGCTCTCAAAGGGTGAGAGGTCTGCAGAGGGGTGTGTTCCCATGAGCCCACTTCCCCCCTCCCTGCCCTGGGAGTGGTGTCTCTTGCTTCCTCCGCTGCCTGGCAGGGCGGAGAAGGGAGAGGGGGGAGTGGGGGTGGAGAGGGAGGAGGAGAAGGCTAGTAGGGCGAGGAGCGTGGGTTGGAAGGCAGTGAGGTGGAGGGAGGAGAGGTGGAAGGAGAGGGAAGTGGAGTCGCGAGATGGGGCGGTCAGCGACCTTGATTTCAGACACAATTCCACACGCAACACACACTCCCCTGCTCCTGCCCCATCTCCTCCCACTGCTGCTCCTGATGTGGCTGGGGCAGATACGCCTGCCAAGCGTACATTCTCTCCTCCCAGCCAATGAGAAGTGCTGGCGGAATTTCCTGCTGAGGATTGGCCACCACTCAGTGCTCCACCACTCAGTGCTGCTCCCATGGGAGCCGCTGCCTGGCCAGCAGTTGGTATGGCAGGCATGGGCAGCGAGGAGAAGGAGAGGCAAGCGGGGAGTGAGGGGGCGGAAAGGACGCGGGAGACGAGCATATGGGGAGCCGAGGGGTCTGTTTGGGTGGAGAAACCTGAGAGAATTTGTGGGGAGAGCCAGAGTTGTGCTGATGGGCTAGGCTGGAAGGAGAGAGAGGGGGAGGAGAGGATGGAGTGGGTTAGAGAGGCAGGTGTGGGAGGGTGTGATGTGGTTACGGTAGGGGAACTGGCTGGGTTGGGCGAGGAGGGAAGGTGCGTTTGAATGATGTGGTGGGTGGGGCAGGAGGGGGGTCGCGAGGAATCGGTGAGTTGGAGGCGGTGCAGAGTGGCATAGATGTGCTCCTCCAGTAGTCTTTGGACCAGGCTGTAGGGCTCATGGCAGCGCACAGACGCACAGGGCACATGCACACACATGCACACACATGCACGCACGCACCAACACACGCATGAAAACACACACAAACCAACCATTTGCACAGTCGGACACAACAACTGAGACGGAAAAACTTAGCCGCAATACGTGGAGGCAGGATGCAAGGTACAATGAGAGCATTCACTCACCGGACGTCCAGTCCAGTAGCCTCAAGAGTGATCACGTGGGCTCCTGATGCTTCCCCGTTTGCGGGCCCCCTGCTTTGCCCAGCCCTGCTGCGCTTGCTGCGGGAACCAAGAGGCTCTGTCGAAGAGGCACTCATGTCCAGGCGCACTGTGATTTTCCCTACAGCCACTCCTACATCTGAAATTGGCGTGCCTGTTAGTACGTCCATGCCACTCGCCACTGCCACCCGCCGTGACTGCACCCGACTTATCCCCCCTGTTCCTAATTCTGCTTTCCCATCTCTGCTGCTGCTGCCACCCTCATTCACAGCCCCGCTTCCGTCCCCGCCAGCCTCATGCTGCTGCTGCTGCTGCTGTTCCAGTAGCAGCAGAGGAAGCCTGGTGTTGTCTAGATCGGGTGAGGCCAGCAGCTGCTGTGGCACCTTGGCAGCGTCGCGCTGCAGAATGGTGTGAAGCATCTCGGACCAGGACGGTGTGGATGTCAGCCCCCCACTGCCACTCCTTACACCGCCCCCATTTCCTGCCTCGTCTGCAGTCCCCCTCCTTGCACCTTGACCCCCCATTCCTCCTTGCAGCTGGCCCACGCGATGTGGGACAGCTATGGGCCCTGAGGCAGGCAGAGGGTTGTTGCTGCTGGTGGGGGCAGCGTGGGGAGGGGTTTGGGAGGATGAGGCGGTGGGAGGGAAGAGGATAGCGGAGGAGGAGGGCTGGTGTGCTGGTTTAGGAGGCGGGGAGGATGGGGGTGGCGTGAGGGAGGAGAGGATGGAGAGGAGGAGGCGGAGGTTGGTGAGGGAGAGGATGATGGAGATGTGCGGAATGCTGCCTTGCACCTGCAGAGAGGAAGGGAACAGCGAGGGTGACATCAGAAGGAAGATAGAAGCAAGGAGCTGAGACTGGAGGAACAGGACGCGGAAGGTGAAGGGCTGTGCTGCAGGGGAATGAGAGTGAGGTGGAAAGGTGGTGAAGTGGAGTAAAGTGGGAAGGAGGGCAGCACTCACAACAGCTTTGGTGGTGGCAGGGTCGCCTGAGAGAGCGCAGAGCAGCAGGTGCAGGTGGACAGAAAACTCCTCCACAAGAGGCAGCTCCCTGCCACTCTCACTGCCACCCTCCCCTGCACTGCCCGCTCCTGCCATGCTGCTGCCACCACCACCGCCCATCCACATGTTCCCTGGTGCCCCCAGTGCACCTGGGGGCAGGCCAGGCCAGAAGGAGTGGGGGACTGGTGGGGCTGGTGGCGTGGGTAGTGCAGTGCGAGGGGGCGGTGGAACGAGAAATACCTGTGAGGAAGGGGCAGGCAGGGGGCAGCAGAGGGAGTGCGAGAGGGACTTGGAGAAGGGCGGAACGGCAGGCACACAGTACGGGACACAAAGGGAGTGAAGGGAAGGGACGAGAGCAGAAGAGATGGGAGGAGCGACGGACCTTGACAGCAGCGGCTCTAACTGCGACACTGTCAAATAGCACCATCTTCTGAACCCACTCGGCCATGCCTCTCTTCCCAACGCCTCCCGTTCTCCCCCCTCCCATCCGTCCATCCGCATGCCCAACATCTATACCACTGCCTGTGCCTCCTTCCATACCGCCATCGCCCACTCCTCCCTTCCTCTCTCCCTCCATGTCCATTCTTCCATCTCCCTCCACTTCAACTCCTCCCACTGCCGGTCCCTGACTTTCTACCCTTCTCACGCCAGCATCTCTCCCCCCTGTCAGGCCCCTCTCCCCCAGGACGGAGAGTGCCGATCGCAGGTTGCCTGAGGAGGCGAGGGCTTGTGCAAGGAGAGACCGCTCAGGGGGTTCAGGGATGGACGAGATGTGCAGTGACGCCAGCTGTAGCACCTGCACTCCTCCAGGGGACGGGGGGTGCGAGAAGGGCAGGGGAAGGGGATGAGGATATATGAGGGGTTGAAGAAAGAAGAGAAGAGAGTAAGGGGCAAGGGTGTGAACATAAGATTTCCGAATGAACCTATGCAGGCACATGAGAAACACATAGCAGCTCGGAGTAGCTTCTGCCAGTTTCAGGGAGCACTCACCAAAGGCCGCTCTCTGGCCTTGGCACCACAGCAATCAAGCTTACCAGCAGGGGGCAGGGGCGGGCAGAGAGGTACGTGTCAGCGTGTGGAACAACGATTGTGACGCTTGCCACGTCCACATGCAGATGCAGCACCTTGCGCGTGGCTAGCACCAGGCTGGCGGGAGAAGTGACATAAAAAGAGGGGCAGAGAGAGAGAACCAGTAGGGATGAAGGGCAGGAAGAGCAGAGGAATGAACGGATTGCTGTAGTGCAGAGCTCCAAGCTTTCTCGAGATGGAAAGGGAATGGTTGAGTTGAATGAGTGCAGCTCACCCAGACTTGGCAGTGGCTCGAGCAGTAGTTGAGTCCAACGAGTTGATGGACGCAATCACCTGACGCCATGCCATGGCGGGACATAGGGTAGGATGACACGGCATGGGTGGCGGAAACAGGATCTTGTGATGGAAAAACGATACACACCATGACTGTCCTTTCTTGGGGATGTGGCCAAAACTGACTCATTACTCACCTGTTCTTGGTGGGTGGGCACGGTCGTGGGATGGCTGAAGAACATGCCCACGCGCTTCAACACCTCCACACCCACCACCGCCTGCACTGGCTCCACTGCCACCTGCCGTCACGGAAAAATATGTGTGGCAGGGCATGCAGACGGCAAGCAAGGAGAGAGACTGTGGGAGTGTGACAGGAGGTGGTAGTGACAGGAGGCAGAAGGGTTGAGAATTGAATTGACAGCAGGTAACTGATAAGAGGCAGAGGGCTCACCGATATTGTCGTCTCCATCTCATTGGGCGCACTGTCTTCCACCTCGCCTCCTCCCACTCCACCATCTCCGTGCCCATGCCCATGCCCATGAGAATGGGGCGAGTGCACTTCGATTTCCACCCGCAGCATCGGTCTTGCCGCTACAGCTTGCATCTGCCCCCCTGGCCTCCACCCATGCACCTCACTCTCACCCCCATAGCCCCTCTCTCCCATCTCGGCCCCTCCTCCCATGCCTCTCTCCCCTCCACCACCCATAGCAACCGCATGCTCTGCTGCAGCAATGGCACCGATACCTAGAGCTGACTGATTACGTCGCATGTTCGCCCACCCTCCATTGCCCACCCCCATGCCCATGCCCATGTGCGTAGAACTATACCCATGCCCTGCCAGAGGCGCATGGGCATGGGGATAGGCATGTGACCCTGGGTACCCAATCCCAGCTCCTGCTCCCAGCAGCATACCCAGCCTCCCATCCGCCCCCACCCCCACTCCCAGCCCCACACGAGAGTCTGTACGTGGTAACATCTGCCCCTTCCCCCCGCCCCCTACAGGACCCCCCAGGCCCGCCCCCAGGGCTGGGCGGCCCAGGCCCCAGGCAGCACTGGCAGAACGCATTAGCAGATGGCCGTGGCCGGCAGGGGAGGGAGAGGAGACGGTGGAGGGCGAGGCGAAGGAGGAGGCTGCGGAGTGGAAGGAGGGGTGTGACGGGTGGGATGGAGGGAGGAAGTCGTGCAGCGAGGAGTGCGGGAGCTGCAGGGAGGGAGAGGGTGGGCGACAGTGAGAGGGAGAGGGACAGGTGAGGAGTAAAACACGCGCATTAACTCTGGGCACTGCAGTTTAGTTGCAAAGGGTCCATGGGAGCACAGGCACAGAGAAGCTTACCAGTGGAAAGAGGATCCTGACGGCCTCATCCTCCTGAGAGGAGGATGGAGAGATTCGACTCCTTTCACTGCTTACGCCTCCTCCCATGCCTACACCCGTTCGCATGCCCTGAGAACCTGGTCCAGCAAACGAAGCAGAGGCGTCAAGTGTGCCCTTTGCAGCTCCTGAGGTGCTCCAGAGGTCAAAGGCTTCGAGAGAGGAGAGAGTGAGGGAGAGAGAGGAAGAGCTGGTCCACACCCGCGAGTTGAGCAGCAGGCCTCGCAGCCTGAGGCTCAGTATGTCCCGTCGGGAATATCTGGCGGGGAGGGCAGAGAACGGAAAGAGCAGCAGGAAGAGGGGAGGAGCTAAACCGTTGTTGTGCTAATAGGGAGCATTTCAAGCGGGAGCGGGAGAGAAATGAACGAAGTGGTTCAAGGCCTGCTTGTCGGCATGAGGGAGAGGCAAGTGAGGATGCATGCGCTGAGGTGGTGGGGGAAGAAGAAGGCACACTCACGAGCTGCGCAGGGAGGCATGACCGTCTGCCACCTGTGCAGTGAACGCCAGGCGGCACACCGACACTGCTGCCCTGCCATGAGTCGTCCTATGAGACGCCTCAGGGAGCATTCGGCTGGAGGGCCCCATCACACTGGAGTCCTCGGGAATGGAGGCGTCGAGCGACGAGGAGGATTCTGAGAATGAAAGGGTATGCACAGAGGAGCGGCTCCTGTTCATGGCTTTGGGTGATGCTGACGTGGCATCCATGGCCATAGATGCCGATGATGACGTGGATGCTGATGTGGACATCCAGGAAGGCTCATCCAGCCCGTTATCCCCGTCAGCAGCATCAAAGGGCGAGTCCAGTGTGCGATAGAGCTCCTCTAAGTCACGGTCACTGACTGCAGCCATGACGTCAGCTGCAGCAGACGCATCAGAGCCACCAGCGCCCAGCATGCCCTGAGACAGCCAGTTCAACCACCCCCTCCCCCTCTGCTGCTGCTGCTGCTTCTGCTGGGCTGCTTTGCCCTTGCGCCGGTCCCCTCGCCCGTCTTTCTCTGCAGAAAAATCTTCAGCTGAGTCTTTTGAAGCGGATGGGTTGCCCCATTCTGTGCGGGCAGCCCGCTGCAGAAAGCAGTTAGGAATGGAAGAAGACAATAGAGGGGGGAGGGGTGGGCGAAGAAACAATGTCAGTTGAGGAGCAAGAAATGGCTGGAGAGGCAGAAAGGGGAAAATGAGCAAGTCATGCGTGCAGCAGCATGGCACACAGTCATGCATCTGGAGGTGAGCGGTGCAGGCCGGAGGCGAGCGGTGCAGGCCGGAGGCGAGCGGTGCACTGAGGAAGAAGGCACGACACACCTGGGCGGCAGCTGTCCGGAATAGGAGAATGTCCTCTAGCTCCAGCTCGTCCTCCATCTCCTCCAGCTGCTGCCTCTCCTCCACCTGCAGTCACAAACACACACACGCACACACACACACACACACACACACACACACACACGCACGCACACACACACACACACACACACACACACGCACACACACACACACACACACATGTACATACTATAAGTATATGTATACATACATAAGAGCAAAACAAAAAAAAACGTGGACGAAGATGCAGCAAGTACAAGTCAGGGCTTTCACAAGGAGGAACGTGCTCACAGGGAGGTCTTGCAACAATTCCAGCTTCCTTTTGTACAAGGCCGCGTATTGCCGTCGCTTTGCCCTGGTGTCGTGGTAACAATGGTGGGGTTGGAGCAAGGAAGGAAAGGAGGAGTGTGTTAAGAGCGCAAACACGAAAGGGGAGAGAGAACAAGAGCAGAAAGTACCCGAAAGCAGATGAGTGGTTTACCAGGGAAGTCAAGGGGGCGAGCAGGCATCTGGTGTGGAAGAAAGGGTTCAGGAAGGGTGCAGAGGCATAAACGGTTGGAGAGGAAGGGACATACAGGCGGGAGGGGAGGTAGAGGAAGGAGCGGCGGTAGAGGCGTTGGCGCACATCAAAGAGCACGGCATTGAGCGCGTATGACCACAATGCGCGCACTCTCTCGCTGCCACCGCTGGTGCTTCCGCCCTGCTGGTCCCCCATGCTGTCGGCTGGTTTGGTGCCACTGGTTGGTGGGGTCTGGGAGGAAGAGAACAAGGCTGCGGGGCGAAAGCGGCCATACCTGCAGTGGGACAGTTAAGCACACGAGAAAGGTGAAGTGGCAGCAGACAAAAGAGGGTGTGAGAACATGCAGCACACAGAGAGACGTGTGGTAAGTGGCATTGCGTATATGAGACACAGAGAGACGTGTGGTAAGTGGCATTGCGTATATGAGACACAGAGAGACGTGTGGTAAGTGGCATTGCGTATGCGTATATGGTGACACAGGGATGCAGAAGAAGGACCTTTCTCTGAGGCGCAGCACGTTGAGGGCATCGGCCAGCAGCAGCACGTCCTGGTACTGGTGCTCCTCCAGAGACACTCGCTGGCACAGAGAGGGGGAGAAAGTTGGGAGGTAAGATTTGTATTAGGGGAATGGGCTATAAGGCATGCGCAATATATCAGGAAGATTAGAAGGAATTGCTGTACCCAGAATATCTAGAACGAGAAGCATCAGGCACTTGCCAGGTGGTTGTGGTAGCACATCAGATCAGGTGATTCTGACATACCAGGCGGTTGCAACGGAGAGAGACAGACACGGGAGCAGTGCTTGTGTGGGCGGGAGGGCCCATATGCATCTGGAGGGAGGAAAAGGAATGGAACAGAACAGGGGTAGAAGGACAACAGCACAAGATAGTGATGGTGGAAACCGAGAGAGGTGGTGAGGTGAGAGGTGACAAGGGGGTTGCTGCAACAAGAAGCAGATGACAGGGTAGAAGACCAACAGTAAGTGCATGAAGTTCGATGCCACATGCACTTGTGGATCACCTTTGTCATCGCCACATGCGACAAAACTGTTTCCACATGTCAGCAGCTTATGCTTGCATGGTCACATAGCCATGCTTTATGATCCATGAACCATGACGCCATAAAACACAAGTCATTATGCATGCCGTACCACGAGTCTGATAGAAGCATCCAAGGGATGCAACATGTTGTTCGCCACTGCTGCCGAACCTTCCTCTCCCTTGCCTCTCCCTTGCTCCCTTCCTCTTCCCCTCTGCTCATCCACCCCTCTTCGCCTCTGTCTCTTGGCACCCATCCCTCCACCCTCCTCCTCATCACTTGGAACCAACTCACCCTCTCCCCACACTATGTCCGCATCCATGCTCTCCTCCCCTCCCCTCTCTCCTGAACCATCCCTCACTGCTCCTTCCCGCCTCCATCTCTCTCCACCTTCTGTCCCTTCCTTCCCTGTCCTCTCCCCACCTCCCTGTCCATTAGGCCCGAAAGTGCTCCCTTCGAACCCTCTCTTGCACGAATTCCAGTAAAACGACAACCCCCGCACCTCAATGCTCTTCCTCAAATTTCTCCCTGTCCCTCCGTTCCTGCCCGCGTCCCCTATCTGTGGCTTCCCCTGCCCCCCTGCCTGCCCCTGCCCAGCCTCTTGCTCCCACTGCTGCTCCAGAAGCTTCTCTGTGGGAGTCTGGCTGTCTGGCGGCACAAAGAAGGAAGCAGTCGACCCAGGCCCACCACCAGGGCCACCTGCCGCAGGAGTTGTGTTGAGAGCAGAGGCGGATGCAGAAGCAATGGCATCTGCAGCAGCAGCAGCAGCAGCAGCAGCAGCAGTGAGGGGGTCCTTGGAGGCAGCAGCGGCCACAGAGAGATGGTCCAGGTGAAGGCCAAACTCAAACGCCGCCTGCATGGGCACAGAGGTGAGTACGACAGTGATTGGAGAGGAAGTGCGGGAGAGCAGAGCATGAGAATGAGGACAGATGAGATGACTCCAGCAAAGCAGTCGGATGCGGTGCTCAAGAAACAGACAGGTAGCTAATGAGATGACAGTGTAAGCGGCATGGAAGGTAGGGTGCAAACAGCAAACAAAACTGGAGCACGAACCTTGGGGTCGGAGGAGGAGTGTGTGTACTTGACGTGCACGGATGTCACCAGCACCTCCAGAGCGTTCAATCCCTGCCATGATGCAGGTAAAGCAGGTGATGCAGGTGATGCGGGCACGTGATGCAGATGATGTGGGACATCTAGGTAGGACACACACGCTGTGAGCAAAGAAATACAAAGATTATCATGCTATTAATAGTTCGGTGTGAATTGCGGACTAACGGTGTAAGAGGGAGGCACATTACAACGGCTGAGAAGTATGAGAGTGCTGACGCCCCGACACCATTGCCTGGGAGCAAACAGCGATGCAGTAACAGGGAAGAGAAGAAACGGGAGAGCACATGATTGCAAACAAATCATTGCTGAGGCTCTCTCTACTCATCAAGCAATGACGTGGCAACAAAGGATGAGGTGTTTCACCCTACACAAAGCTCCCCAACCTAACCTTTTTCTCACGTCATCGCAGCCTGCCTGCCCTCACATCACCTCACCCTGCTCAGACATCTTCACCACCTCGGCTGCAGCCAGCGCTGCCCTCTTGGCGGCTCTCTCTCTCACCACTGCCGGACCCTCCGACCACTGCACAGTGCACACAGCCGGGCAGGGAAGCACAAGGTGACGAAGGAGGGAATAACAGGTAGTAGTACTAGAGCGGTGGCCAAAAATTATCAACGACAAGGACGAAAGCAGGGGAAGGGCGAAGCAAAGTGATTCAACAGCTCCACGAAGGTCCAGGATTTAGGGTTTAGGAACTGCGAGGGAAGTGCAGAAGCAAGGAGCCAGTACTCCCACGGACACACCTCATGGTCAGCCCTTGGTGCCATCACTATAAGCACGTCGCTGATAGTCACAGACACGCATGGTTCTCGGCCCAGCCTTTTCATGGACAGCTGCAGGCTGAGACTACCGATCTTCCCTGCAACCACACAAAAGGAAATCGCAGACTCCAGCAGCTTAGCAGAGAAGCTATTATTGGATAAAAGGTATATATGAACCAATCGATGAAGTTTTACAGATTGAGGAAGTTTTTGTGAACTTAGATGCCCCAGAGCAATGAGATGGCATGCGAACTGAAGTGCAACGCCGTCATGGAAGCTATGACAGATATATACCATGGTGGATCGAAAATGGCAGCTGAAGGTGGTCGAATGCTGCTGTGTTGATCTCCAGGTCGTTTAGTCTTACCACCCCTGTTCAAGCAGCAGAAGTCAAACACTTCTGATAGAATTAACTGTAAAGTCGGACGATTGGATTTTGAAGTCAGACGACTGGATTGAACATGAAGGCATTGCGTCTGAAGGCACACAACCGGTTTGATTCTGAAACCAGACGACAGGATAGCTTCTGAAGCCAGACAGGTGAAACAGGTTTGAAGTCGGGCGACTAGATTGCTTTTGACGGAAGCCAGCTGGTTTGATATTCCAGAGTCTCAACTGATCCTGAAGCGAGACAACTGGATGGTCTCCAAAGCAGCGACTAGATTGTTCTCAAAACCAGGATTGGTTGTGAAGTCGGACGACTGAATTCCAACTCAGTGACATAATTGAACCTGAAGGCTGCAATGTCAGAACGAGGACACCTGAATTCATCCTGAGGTCAGACAGCTCGATCATCCTGAGCCAGGCGACGGAATTGCTTGTGAAGGCAGACGACTCAGGTGATTCTGAAGACACGCTGCTGGATTGCATCTAACGGCTGTCAACCTTTCATATTCCGAAGTGAAACAACTGATATTCGACAAGGGCCATGAAATTCGCTCATACAAGTATGTTCATGAACTGACTATGCAGCGACCTGGAATGAGGCAGAAAGGGATGTTAATCACGGTCAAACTGCTTCGTAAGCAAGACATTAAGTTCGTGAGACTCACGTCGCCATACTCCGATTCGGAGCTGCTCCTTGTGGAAGTTCTTGAGGTAATGCGAGAGGTAACCTCCCACCAGCGAGAACACGAGACTTTCCAACATTGCGCCGGGTTTCTTTGCAGTCAGATTCGGCCCGAAAGTTAAGTCATGGTGACGATGGTTGCGAATGTCAGGCGATTATCGGCAAGGACATGGTCATCACGGACAGCAGACGCAAAGCTTCAAGAGGTTCCTGACCAGGAGATGTCAATGCTGTGCTGCTCATGTGACAAGAAATTGGTCTGGTCATGGCTACCATTGACGCTAATATTCAGGGGTCGAGCCTTGATCAACTCGATTAAATGACATATCGCCACTTGATAATAAAGGCTACACTCCATTCACGTGAATGCAATATGAGCACCACTATTTTCCATGCATATCTTCTTCAAGAGAGACGTTGCAAGGCATCAAATCAGACGGTTCATACAACTCATATTTTTACTTGCATTTATAGAGTATGAACATGTGCAGTCGGATAGATACAACCATCAGTAATGGCATTTGAAATAGTGTCATGTATGCATCTGGGACGTGGTGCATGTGAGCTGCTGCTACGTACCTTGTTTCAATGTCTTGCAGCTTAGCTTGTTTCAGCCACTATGTTCTGTTCTATGATTGAATACAGTAGTGTGCATTTACTCTGTATGCCCTTATTCAAATGTGATTATTCGAATGTGTTGACGCCACACTTGGGTTCTGGCCACCTGGACTTACAGGCAGAGTTCAGATTGCCATGACCCGATAAACCAATTACTTCGTGCCAACTCAGGCCCCTATCATCTGGTTCATTCCCGAATCGTCGCAAATGTCTACTTTTTCTGGGGCGAACTGTGCTTGGAAGGGGCGTGACTGAACCGACACTCCCTGGACCCTTGGAGTCTGATTCACCAACGCATCACAGCAGCACAGGCACTGAGCTCCCTAAGAGCAACACCACCACGCTCAGTCTTTATCTTTCAGATACACCTCGTGAGACAACCAAGTGAGGTGTCTCTCCCTGAAGCTTAGCCAGTTCGTTCGAAAGTCATTTTAGCCATGGCTGCCGTGACTTGCCCTTCGGCTACCGTGTCGCGCGCTTCCCTCGCGCCGGCGTCCCTTTCGGGCGTGTCTAGCCGCAAGAATGTGAGCTTCTCTAGCTTCACCCCGAAGGCCAACTTCGGCGTGAAGGCAGCCGCTGGACGGGTGACGATGGAGGTCGTTAAGGACAAGCCCAGAGACGGGTCCAAGGAGCCGTCCAAGGAGACTCTCCTCACTCCCCGCTTCTACACCACCGACTTCGACGAAATGGAGAGGGTAAATTTCACGACCCTCGACGCTACATCGTATCGCTTTAGCTCGAACCACAGCCCAGGGCCGAGAAGAGCGTATCATAACAGGGATCTCGCTACGAGATATCGACTTTGCCATCAGCATTAGACATAAAATTGATTATTTTATTCCTTTCCCCGCCCGTCTCCAGCTGTTCAACAGGGACATCAACCCGTACCTGAACCAGGCGGAGTTCGATGCGTGCCTGGAGGAGTTCAAGGCCGACTACAACCAGACGCACTTCGTCAGGACGCCCGAGTTCAAGGCTGCCGCCGACAAGATCCAGGGCCCCGCCAGGGAGATCTTCGTTGAGTTCCTCGAGCGGTCGTGCACAGCCGAGTTCTCCGGCTTCCTGCTCTACAAGGAGCTCGGCCGTCGCCTCAAGGTGCGTGTGCATTCTTGAACCTTTTCCAACATGACAGATTTTGCCCACATTCCAGCCCTGAGCATTTTTGGCGATTGAAGCGTTCTTTTCTAACTGCGGTCGGCTTTTCGTTTGCAGAAAACCAACCCCTGCATCGCTGAGATCTTCACCCTGATGTCCCGCGACGAGGCCCGGCATGCCGGGTAAGTCCACCCACACGCATCTTCTTCTCCCCTTCGTCCCCGCGAATCGCAATTTCAGTGACCTAAAAACGTTATTTCTCTCTGTCTGCTGTTTGCAGTTTCCTGAACAAGGCTCTGTCTGACTTCAACCTGTCCCTGGACCTGGGTTTCCTGACTAAGGCGCGCAAGTACACCTTCTTCAAGCCCCAGTACATCCTGTACGCTACGTATCTGTCGGAGAAGATCGGCTACTGGCGCTACATCACCATCTGGCGCCACCTGGCCCAGAACCCGGAGTACCAGTGCTACCCCATCTTCCAGAAGTTCGAGAACTGGTGCCAAGACGAGAACCGCCACGGTGACTTCTTCACCGCCATGCTCAAGTGCTACCCTAAGTTCCTTCAGGACTGGAGCTCCAAGCTCTGGGCGCGCTTCTTCTGCCTCTCGGTAAGTCCAATGCTGATCCAAATATGCCACCCTCCACCCTGCTATTGTCACTGAGCTTTTGTGCGTCATTCGTTTCAGATATCTCCTAGCGCTGTTGGTCGTTCTTGGCTTAATGCTGAATTTATCCTTGCTCTTTCGCAGGTGTACGTGACGATGTACCTGAACGACCACCAGCGCACGGCGTTCTACGAGGGTCTGGGCCTCAACACAAAGCAGTTCAACATGCACGTGATCATCGAGACGAACAAGACCACGGCGCGCATCTTCCCCGCCGTGCTTGACGTCGAGAACCCCGAGTTCCAGCGCCGCCTTGATGTGCTCGTGGGTCTCAACCAGAAGCTCGTTGACATTGGCAAGAGCGACGCCCCTGATGCTCTGAAGAATGTGCAGCGGTTCCCCGTCCTGGCGTCGTTTATTGGCGAGCTGCTCGCGCTCTATTTCATGCGGCCTGTGGACTCTGGGTCCGTCGACTTCATTGACAACGAGGCCCAGGTTGTGTACTAAGCGCTGATGGTTTGACTATAGGAGGTTTGCTGCTGCTGCCTGTCTTGTACATGTGGAATACCATGAATTAATGAAGCATTTTTCTAAATGTGTGTGTAAGATGCCTGGAAGGATGTACCGTATTCTCCCGGATAAAACACCCCCCTGTAATTGTATACCCCCGGGTAGCTAATACGGGGTGGGTGTTATATCCGACCCCGTTAGTACTATACCCCCCTTTTGGGGTGATTCTCTATAACACCCCCCTTTTCTTATAGATTCCTATTATAGCTGTCTTCTTACGGGAGGATATCGCGAAAATCACTCCTTAGAAGAAATTTCGCATGTACTTTCACTTAGAATCAGCCGAGTTATCCCCCCTCCCACAATCTCGCTGTCGCCACGCTGGTGAATCCCAAAATCTCGCTGTCGCCACGCTGGCGAATCTTCCACTGCAAGTGGTCCAAGAGGTGAAGTGGCCCAAGTGGCCCACAATATCCTCGTACTCGGTTTTGCGGCATTGATCAACAATCTTTAACTGAAGTCAGACCCCTGATTTTGTTTCACATCTATCTGTTATATAAAAATATACCATATCATAAGACCCGGGTATTATATAGGATTTTCCTCTGAGGAGACCCCCCCCATTTTTTTCCAGTGGTTTTCATAATACCCTAGGGTGTTTTATCCGGGAGAATACGGTTAGCTGCTTGTCTTCTGTCCACGATGCTAGCCCTGAAGTGCCAGTATCTTCAGAGCAAGAGAGTGGAGTATATGGTAGTACCGTCACTAGCACCTCTTCATGGACACCGCTGTGTCTCCTGAGGATTAACTGGTAGCAAGATTACCGTACAATGCTTTCCCAGCCAACTGACTGTCACACCAAAAAAGGCAACCACCTAACTCAAATCTGCAACTCAGAAACGAAGTGCTTGACTGTGTATGATAGTGATTGATGTGTAAAATCTGTACAGCTACAGCCCACCAAATCACCTAAACGTCCTATCATTCTCATCCTGATTGGTCAGATGCAACCTTGAAGCAGCAGCTCTAGTCAGCCGCATGTCAGGCGAAACAGCAGCGTCCCGCTGCTTGGCAACAAAATCACCAAACACACGCAAGGGCAGCTCACGGGGAGCGGCCAGTCGCCTCCTCTGATACATCAGTGTCGTGGGTGACGGGGCCAATGGGGAACACAAGGGCGAGGTGCCTGTGGTGGAAGGCGATGGTAACGTGCTGATGCTTGGAGGTGGTAACCAGGTTGCCTCCCTTGGGATTGCCGCTGGTGTGGTGGAGGGTGTGAGGGCGGGCCAGGAGGACTTGGAGGAGGAAGTGAGGAGGTCGATGGCAATGGGTGGCCTTGTTGTTTGCTGCTCCTGCTCCTTTGCAACCTCCACCGCCGCTGCATCTGGAGCTCTCTCTGGTGTACTGACTGACTTGCCTGCTGCTGCTGCTGTTACTGCTGTTACTTCTGGTGCTTCTGTGGCTGATGGTGCAGCCGCAGCTCCTTCTATTGCTGGGAGAGGAGGTAACGGAAAATTCCCTGGAGCAGAGGCGGCAACATCCGAGGAAGCAGAGGGAGCAGCTTGCATGAGGGTAGGGATGATAGGCGTGTGAGAGGCTTCTGCAGGCAATGCAAGTTCCAGCTTCACCTCCTCCGTGTGAATCCCTGTGCCTGCTCCTGCTGCTGCTCCTTTCTGCTCTGCTGCCTCTCCCTTCTCTGCTGCAACCTCTTGAATGCTTGCATCTGCAAGACTGGGCCCTACTCGCACTGTGTCCAACTGGCCATCATGTCCCTTGCCCATCGCTCTCTCCTCCCCTTCCCCCTCCACCTTCCCCATCACCTCCTCCTCCTTCACTTCCGCCCTCACCACCTGCAGATCTCTCCCTTCGTTCCCCCTCTCCACCTCCCTCTCCGCCTCTCTCTCACCCACTCCATCCAAGCGCCACGGGGAGGGTGGGGCGCCAGAGGGGGGGAGCAGCAGAGGGCCGGGGGACCACAGCAGTGTGGCGCGGGGGAGCGGTGTAGCTGCTGCTGAGTCGAATCCCCTGCTGCTCTCCTCTTCCCCGCCTTCCCTCCCCCGCTCCTCCCCCTGCACCTCCACAACATCTCCATCTTCTGACGCGTCAAGGCCTTGCGCACTCACACACCCCCTCCTCTCCCCCGCCCCCACCCCATTCAGGAACAGCACTCGCTTCTCTGCTCCGCTTGCCCCCCTGCTGCTGCTCTGCCCCTTCCCTCTCACCTCCCCCGTACCAGCAGCACCAGCACCAACCCCTCTTGCCACACCAGCAGCCGCCACCACCCCCACTCGCCGCCTTTGCTTCCCCTCACCACCACTCTCCACATTCCTCCCTCCCACCACCCCTTCCTCTGCCCTCTCCCCTCCCGCCTTCCCCTTCTCGCCCACCCCCCCTCCCGCCTTTCCCTTCTCGCCCTCCTCCCCTGCCCCCTGCCCTTCCAGCAGTCTGCTGCTGCGTCTCCTCCCCCCCACCTCAGCCAGCCCCAGCGGCCCATCATTGCCTGCAGACCCAGAGCGGCCCACAAGAGGAGAGAGGGAGAGCAGGCTCAGCCTCTCCAACTTGAATGTCGACCGGTGGGCTGCTCCTCGCGCTGACAACCGGGCTGCCTGCTGCTGCTGCTGCTGCTGCTGCTCCTCCTGCTGTTGATGCTGCCGGTCCTGCTCCTCCTCTTGCTCCTTGCGCTCCTGTCGTTGCTCCGCCCGCTGCTCTGGCTCCTCCAGCTCCTGCGGCTCCTCCTTCCCCGCCCACTGCACCTGCTGCTGGCTAACAGCTGAGACATCAAGCGCTGATACCTCATGACACGCGTTCTCTTCCAATGCAGAAACCGCTGCTGTGGGAACTCGTAGTTCTGCTAATGGTGCTGCTGCTGCTGCTGGTACTTCCGATGGTGCTTGTGTCGAAGCAGCTTGCCCCCCAACAAGCCTCTCCCCAGCTGCCAGCGAGGCAGCCTCAACCATGAGTTCGTCCTTCACACATGCCAGCAGCGACCGCTCTCGCGACACAGCCTCTGTGTGGCACACATGCATGTGAGACGCACGGCCCTCCGACCCATGTGTCTGTGCCACATGCCCGTGTGACCCACGCGTGAGCATGGCATGCCTGCAGCTGCCCTTATCCGTCCCCCCTACACTGCCTGATGCGGCCGCTCCCGCTGACACGCCATGGCTGCTGCTCCAGCTGTGCGAGGCAGAGAGAATCAAATCCACGCCACTGCTGCTCTCCATCTCGCCACTCCCTCCAGCGCCACTGGAATGCGCGCCATCTGCACCGCTCTCAACACCCTCGCAACCTGCTCCATTCCCTCCCACACCCCCCACTGCCCCCACATCCCCCATGTCTCCCATGTGCCCCACGCCTGTCATGCCAAAGTCACCATGCACCTCTCCCCTGCGCCCCATGTCATCATCCACTGGCCCTGTGTCCATGCTGCCCTCCCCCCCACTCTCACTGCACCCCCTCTCTCCCCTCCGCCGCTCCACCCTGCGCCGCTTGTACTGCGTCCCCCATATAGGCACTTTGGTCCGCCCCCCTAAAGGCATGGTATGCACACCCCCCTCTGCTGTTGCGACCACTGGAAGCACCGCTGCTGCTGCACCAGGCGTTAGCACTGCTGCAGGCGCTGCAGTTGCTGCTGCTGCTTCTCCTTCTCCCACCGCTCCTGCTGCCCCTGTTTCTGCCATCTCTGCTGCTCCAGCAGCATCTGGCTGCAACAGGGGCACATGCACGTCCCTACCACCACGCACCACTCTCCCTGCTGCTCCTCCCTCTGCCCCTACACCTGCCGTTGCTACAACCCCTGACACTGCAGCGTCCGCAATCATCCCTGCCTGTACCCCACCAACATATGACTGCAGCGGACCGCCAACAGCCAACACACCAGGTGTCTCTACCCCCACCGCTCTCCCTCTCTCTGCCAACCCCTCCTCTCCTCCACCTGCCTGTGCCAACAACCCCGCATCCCCCGCACCATTGAAACGCCCCTCCTCAGACCCACCCTCCCCAGCAGTCACCTCCCGGCCGCGATAAGCTATCAGCCGAGCTGCCCCCCCTGCTGCCCGCCACCCCTGCCGGCACGTGCGGTGGCTGGTGCGGGGAGAGTGAGCATGGGGCAGGGGTGACACAACCACTGCTGCTGACGCTGCTGCTGGCGCTGCTGCTGCTCTGGCAATCCCATTGCCTGTGGCGCCATCAGCAGCGATACAAAGTGCAGGGGGCGCTGCAGCAGAAGCAGAAGCAGAGGCAGCGACGACAACAGAGGAGCTGCTGCCTCGCCGCTTCTTCCGCACTCCGGTTGGTGTGCGAGTAGCGCTGCCAACACCACCATGATGCCACACCGCACCAGCGGTAGCACCAGCGGTAGCACCAGCAGCACCAGCAGCACCAGCAGTGCAAGCAGTACCGTCAGTGAGAGGCCAAGACAGCATGCCAGTCGCCCTGTGCGCCTGCTCCTCCTGCTGCTGCTGCTGCTGCTGCTGCTGCTGTGCAGCATCCACCCTCACCCCATCCACCCTCTCTCCAGAGAGTCTCTCTCCCACAGCGCGAGCCCGCCGAGTGGACTCAGATCGCCGCCTGCGGCACACAGCACTGGTGGGAACCCACTCCTCCTCCACCCCATACACCCACCCCTCGCCCCCCACCTGCGCACCCCCGCCCCTCCGCCTCCTCTCCTCCCCCGCCCCTCCCACCCCTCTTGCACCTCCTTCGTCCCCCTCGTCCGCCTCCTCCCCCTCACCTGCTCCGTCGTCCCCCGCACCCCTCACGCCCTGCAGCAGCCAAGAGGGTGACTTAACCGCTCGCCGCAACCGCATGCTCATCCCCCCCACCCCCCCCCTCGCCCCCGCCACCCCCACCACCAGCACCACCAGCACCACCACCACCACTGGCATCGTTACCAGCAACAGCAGCATTACCACCAGCAGTACCAGCAGCAGCAGCACCAGCAAGTGCCATACCATTCATGCCCCCATCCGCCCTGCTCTCCCTCCACCCGTTCCCTCTCTCCCTGTCCCGCCTCTTCCTCTTCCCCCTCCCCTCCGCCACCCCCCCTTCTCCCCCTGTGTCTGTCAATCCAGCCAAGCACCTCCTCCTCTTTCCCCCTACTCCCGCTCCCTCACCCTCCCCCTTCCCGCCACTGCTCGCCGCCCATACGAGGGGCACTGCGTGGGAGGACTGGCGCCAAGCAAGGTTGGGGGGGATGGAGGTGCCAGGGAGAAGCAGCCAGGGGAAGCTGAGGGGGAGAGGCGGGGGGAGGGGGGTCACTGTGGGGGAAGGAGGGGGGAGCGCGAGGGGGGATTGTGGGAAGGGGGATTGGTCAGTGGGCAGAAGTGATAAGGGATGGGGGAGCTGTAAAGGGGAGTGGGGAGGCGGAGGTAAATGGGAGGGGGACAGGGGCGCAGGAAGCATGGTAAGGACTGGGCTGGCTGGGGCTGGATGTGAGAGAGCAGGGTGCGGTGGGGAGGGGAGGGCCGGGGAGACAGCAGCAGGGCTGGGCAGAAGCACGGGGTGTTGCAGTGGCAAAGGCGAGGGGTCGTGCGACTTGTGGTGAGAGTTGTGGCATGAGTTGTCACAACGGCCAGCTGGTGTTAGTGCTCCTGCTGGCTCAGGTGCCATACTCTCTGGTGCCACACTCTCAAGAGCCACACCTTCAGGTGCCACACTCCCAGGTGCCACATCCGCAGGTGCCACATCCGCAGGTGCCACATCCGCAGGTGCCACATCCGCAGGTGCCACATCCTCAGGTGCCACATCCTCAGGTGCCACATCCTCAGGTGCCACATCCTCAGGTGCCACATCCTCAGGTGCCACATCCTCAGGTGCCACATCCTCAGGTGCCACACCCTCTGCTGCCACGCCCTCTGGTGCCACACCCTCTGCTGCCACGCCCTCTGCTGCCACGCCCTCTGCTGCCACACCCTCTGCTGCCACACCCTCTGCTGCCACGCCCTCTGCTGCCACGCCCTCTGCTGCCACGCCCTCTGCTGCCACACCCTCTGCTGCCACGCCCTCTGGTGCCACGCCCTCTGCTGCCACACCCTCTGCTGCCACGCCCTCTGGTGCCACGCCCTCTGCTGCCACGCCCTCTGGTGCATGAGCAGCAGAGAGCGAACGAGGAATGGGAGAGGAATCTCGAGCCCCACTGGCTGGTGCGAGCTGCAATGCACCCATGGCGCCCTCTGCTTCCCCTACCACCCCTTCGCCCACTCTCTCCCGCGCACCCTCCTCTCTGCCGGCCCCAATGGAATCACCATCTGCTACGCGCTCCTCTCCTTTCACTGCTGACTGGGGCCCTGTCATGGGGCGTGGTGGTGTGGAGGCAGCAGCAGCGGCTGCTATGTCTTCTTCTGCTGCTGCTGCTGCTGCTGCTGCTGCTGCTGCTACTGTTGCTACTGCTTCTGCTGCTGGAACTGCAGCTGCTGCTCCTGCTGCTGTTAGTGCTGCTGCTGCTGCTGGTGCAGCTGCTGGTACTGTTGCTTCTGCTGCTGCCGTTTCTGGTACTGCTGCTACTGCTGCTACTTGTGCCGCTGGTATGGTTGCTTCTGCTGCTGGCGCTGCTCGTTCTGCTGCTGGTACTGCTGGTGTTGCTTCTGCTGCTTCTGCTGCTGCTCGTTCCGCTGCTGGTCCTACTACTGGTGCTGATGATGCTTCTGCTGCTGCTTCTGCTGCTGCTTCTGCTGCTGCTTCTGCTTCTGCTGCTGCTTCTGCTTCTGCTGCTTCTGCTGTTGGTACTGCTGCTGCCGTTTCTGCTGCTGCTTCTGGCTCTGCTGCTACGACCCCTGCCTCAAGCAGCAACACAGAGGCAGCATCTCCCGGCAGGGAGGCTGCAGGAATCGCCTCGAAAACAGTGGGAGTTGGCTCCGTGATTCCAAGAGGCGTGTGTGAGGCAGGTGTCATCTGAGAGGCAGGTGACATCTGAGAGGCAGGTGTCATCTGGAAGGCAGGTGTCATCTGAGAGGCGGGTGTCATCTGGAAGGCAGGTGTCATCTGAGAGGCAGGTGTCATTTGGGAGGCAGGTGTCATCTGGGAGACAAGTGTCATCTGGAAAGCAGGTGTCATCTGGGAGGCAGGTGTCATCTGGGAGGCAGGTGTCATCTGGGAGGCAGGTGTCATCTGGGAGGCAGGTGTCATCTGGGAGGCAGGTGTCATCTGAGAGGCTTGCAGTGTGCACGGCGTAGCATTGGGTGAAGGTTCAAAAGCACTGGGCGGCAACTGGAAAGCCAAAGGACGCTGCCCGATGGGCGGCAGGGAAAGCTCTGGCGGCGGTGTGTCAGGCACAGACCTCCACATAGCACCATCACCACTCTGAACCGTACTCAGCTCCATCCCTTCCCCATGCATCCCCTCTAGCAGCAACTGCTCTGCCTCACCCATTGCATCCAACCCATCCCCCCCATCCATTGCACCCATCATACCCATCTCATCCACCGCATCTGCCCCTCCCATCTCACCCGCCCCGTCCTCCTCCACTGCCCCCACAATCACCTCCACAGGCACGGCGCGCCACATCTCCTCGATGCCAAACGTGCGCACCACCCGCTGCAGAGCTTCCGCGCTCACCCACACCCGCTCCCCTCCCACACGCACTCCTGCTCCTCCTGCCCCTGCTGCCCCTGCTGCCCCTGCTGCCCCTGCCGCCCGCCTCCCTGCTTCACCTCGCCCCCCTGCGGCTGCTGCTGCTGCTGAAGGTGTGCGCACTGGCTCTGCTGCCTCCCCACCCTCCGCCCCCTCACCTGCCTCACCTGCTTCTGCTGCTGCTCTGCCTGTCCGTGCTCCTGCTTCCACATCCACCATCCCTCCTTCGTCCTCCCCATCCCCACCTCTCCCACCAGTCCCACCAGGTGCCCCCTCCTCTTCCTCCTCTCCCCTTTCTCCCCCCTCTCCCCCCTCTTCCCCCTCTCCTCCCTCTCCCTCCTCTCCCTTCTCTCGCCCCAAATCCCCCGCCCCCTCACCCTCCTCCACCGCTCTGCACCGCCTCGCATCCTCCTCCACCTGAGCCCAATACGCAGCATCCAGAGGCCCCTCCACGCGTTCAGGGGCCTCAAGAGCGATCACCACCAGCATGGGTCCTCGCCGCCCCTCCTTGCCCCACTCCCTACTCGGCACCACTGCCTCACATTCGTCACCCATATTACTCATAATCCCTCCATTGCTTGTGTTGTTTGTGTTGCTCGTGATGTTTGTATTGGTAGCAACCATGTGACTCATGCCGCTTGCCTTGCTAGCCTTGCCCGCAGGAACCGTTTTGCTCATGTTGGTTGCTTTCACTGCTTTGCCTGCCTTGAGTTGCTTCTCCGCTCCCAACTCTGCCAGCCTAGGGGACTGCCGTGCTGCCTTTCTCTGCCCCTGCTGCTCACTCCACCGCTTCGCACCACTCCTAACCGCATCCGATGTTCCTTCACCCCTCCCCCGCAGTTGCCTCCCCTTCACATCCCCGTCTGCAGCCCTACTCTCTGGTTTCTCCTCATCCTCACACTCTACCCCTTTCTGTGCATTCTCTGTTGCTTCTCTCTCTGCACTTCCTTCGGCCTCCCTCTCCCCGTTCCCCTCTGCCTCCCCCTCAGTCATCTCCTCTGCTTTCAACTCAACTGCATCACCACCCGCCTCTGCTGCAGGTACAGCCCGCAGTGCCAGAGACACACACACAGGCGCAGCGGCTTCACCAGGCAGCGCAGCAGTCATGGCAGCAGGCAGGGCAGGGGCAGGCAACGCGGCAGGCAAATCAATGAGCAGGGCAGGGGCAGAGGGAACAAGCACACCAGTGGTACTAGAAGGCTCAGCTGTGAGAGGCACGAGCGTGCAGGGCTTTGCATCGTCAGCTGCTGCTGAGGACAACTGCTTGTACAGGTTGCTCACTGGCAGCGTGCGATGGTGACTGGAGCGCAGGTGACTGGCGCGATGGTGGCTAGAGCGATGGTGGTGGAGGTGGTGGTGGCCAGAGCGAGAGTGGCCGGAACGACGGGACCCACGGGGGAGACCGGGGGCAGCAGCAGCAGCAGCAGCGGCAGCTTTTGCAGTGGCGTCTGCAGCAGCAGCGTCAGCAGCGGCGCTGACAGCGAGAGCAGCAGCAGCAAGGTCGGAGCAGTACTGGTCAGAGAGGAAGGAGCAGGTGTCCTTGCACCATGGTGGTGCGTCCACATATGCCTTCTCCACCCCCCACATCAGTGCACTAGCACCGGTGCTGCCAGGAGCAGCGGCGGCAGCGGCGGCAGCAGCACCCTCCGCGCTGGCACTGGCAGCAGCGCTATACTCACCGGTGCCAGCAGCAGTGGCAGTTGCAGCACCGGTGCCTTCCTCTTGACCCTCCTCGTCCTCCCTTGCACCCACCCACTCCGCCCCTTCCCCACCCCACTGCAGCACGCGCCACGGCAGCCCCACATACCCCACCACCACACTCAACAGCTCCGCACCCGCTCCCACCTTTCCCAACCCCTCCAAATGCGCCAGCCGCTGCTTATGCCGCTGCCGCAGCACACTAGCCGGCCAGTTCTTGTATTTCACCAGTCGAATCTCCCCCTCTCCCCCCCGCCACCTCAGATCCTCCGGCAAAGGGTGGATTTTCAGGGGGAGGCGCACTCTCCCCCCTCCCTTATGGTGCTTCCCGGGAGAAATGGCGGGGAGTGGGGGAGTGTGAGGGGTGGGAGGGAGAGCAGAGTGACGGGCAGAGGGAGACGGGAGAGCTGGGCTTGGGGGGAGTGGAGGGGCGAGCGGGAGCATGTGCGGGCGCGGTGGGATGGGTTGCGGTTGAGAGTGGTGCGGGTCTGCTTCGAGCTTGAGCTTAACTTTGAGTTTCTTCACTCGCCTGTGCCCGTTCACTCCCTTAGACGCCCACATATGCTCCAAGACCAACCCCTCCCCCGCCCCTTCTTTCGCCCTCACCCCTCCCCCCTGTACCCCCAGCGCCTTACCCCTTAGGCTAAACTTCCCTCCCCGCCCCAGGCCCCTTCCTGCGCCCTTCCGTCCAGGCAGCATCAGCTTTCCCCCGCCCCTCCCCATCCCCCTCCTGCCCCCCAGTCTCCCCCCAACCACCGCCCCTGCCGCCCTCACCCCCCCCGGCCCCCCTGCTGCTGCTCCACCCGCCCCTCCCGCCCCTCTCCCTCCAGTCCCCAGCTTCCACTGCCCAGCCGGCCCAGCCATAAGCGGCGGCAGGGCGGCAGGGGCGGCAGCGGGCGGCAGGACCGGCAGCGCCTTTTCCAAAACAGCCGTCCCGGGGAAAACCAGCACGTCCAGCTGTAGCAGCTGCCGCCGCCCCTCCGCTGACATGTCAGCAAAGCCAAAGCCCTGGCGCCACGTGGCATCGGCCTCGGGGACAGCTGGCAGGAGGAACCTGCGAACGCCCAGGGAGGCGAGCAGATGCTCTATCTGCTGCAGCAGGCGCCGGCACATGCCCTGGCGGCGGTAGCGGAAACGGGTTCCGATGAGGGGCATCTCTGCTAGCTCACAGCCGTACACCCTGTGAACACAGGCAGGGGGGGAGGAGGGATGAAGTAGAGCAAGGGGGAGATGAGGGGGTGGTACACATGCAGTGCTGCTGCAGCAGGCGGCGGCACATGCCCTGGCGGCGGTAGCGGAAGCGCGTGCCTATGAGGGGCATCTCTGCTAACTCACAGCCGTACACCCTGAAGAGCACAGACAAGGGGGGGGTTGAAGGAGGCGGGGTGGAGGGCGGTGTGGGTGGGGACATGAGGGGTGAGAAAATGATGAAACGAACACAGCCTGCCTCGCTCGTACAATGCACAACACCAGAAATGGTGGCGGAGCGGCTTCAGCAGCCCGTCTGATGCTGGCAGCAGAGAACCCACTCCTCCAGCAAGGCCCCGGCAAATACAGGTGACCCAACCAACCCATGTGTGCATGCATGGAGTACAAAGGCTGAGGAGTCCCTGCGGCAGCTTACCTGATGCTAGCGGCAGTGATGGACTCCTTGCCCTGCTGCAGCACTGCCCTGTGGATGCAGGCTCCACTGACGATGCTAGCAGAAATGGGACCATGGCACCATGCGTGCAGCAGCTTACCTGATGCTGGCGGCGGTGATGGACTCCTTGCCCTGCTGCAGCACTGCAGTGTAGAACCCCGAATAGTCCCGATGCTTCGTGCTGCAGTGGGTGGGAGAGGGGGTGCACATGGGTGGAGAGGAGTGGGCAGGAGTGAAGAGGAGTGGAGCGAAACCTGAGGAGAAACGCCAGTGGATGAGGGAAAGGAGGGATTGTGCGGGTGCGGGTGCGGGTGACAAGGTCCCCTCCCCGCGGGTCACATGCACGAGCAGGAGGAGCAGAGGGAGCAAGGGAGGGCACAGGGGAACGCACAAGGGAGGAAACAGAAAAGGGCCAAGGGGAGGGCACAGGGGAAGAGCAGCTAACCTCTTGCTGTGCACGATGATGGGGACGAGGTCCTCGCCAGTGAAGGCACAGGGGAAGAGCAGCTAACCTCTTGCTGTGCACGATGATGGGGACGAGGTCCTCGCCAGTGAAGGCACAGGGGAAGAGCAGCTAACCTCTTGCTGTGCACGATGATGGGGACGAGGTCCTCGCCAGTGAAGGCGTCCTTGATGGGGTGGAAGCACTCCCTCATCACCTCCATGCCGCACCGCAGCTTCCTCTCCACCTCGCCTGTTCGCTCCCTCAGTAGGTTGTCGTGCCGCCGCTCCTCCTTGGTCACTGAACCTGCTTCGCTGCGCGGGCCCTCCGCGTGCAGAAGCGTCCAGGAGAAGCCGCCCGGGAGGGAGATGGGCTTGCCTATGAGGCGTTGCAGGCCGAAGAATACCTGTGGGGTGAGGGGTGTGGGTGCGGTGAGGGGTGAAGGTTGAGGGGTTAGAGGTGAGGGGTTAGGGGTTAAGGGTCAGGGGTGAGGGCTTAGGACTGAGGGGGTAAAGGTGAGGGATTAGGGATGGGGGGTTAGGGCGTATTCGTAGCTTTGTGTCATCCCGAATTCATGTCATCCGAAATTGTGGGATCCAGTCTGAAAACCCGCGGTTCGAGATTCGAATTTTCCGATTGGATCCCATGATTTCGGATGACACGAAGCCTAGATGACACGAAGTCAGGAATACGCCCTTAGGGGTGAGGAGTGAGGGGTTGGGGAAGGAGCTAAGATTTTTGGGGTGGGATGAGGGGTTCAGGGTGAGTTGAGGGGGAATATTGAGGGGTGAGGCGTAACAAGAACGGGCAGTGGAAGAAAGCAAAAGACACTCACGGTGCGGCACTGTGGGCGGCAGAAGAAACGGCCGGTGGGCAGCTCCTTGAGATCCGCCCACCCCATGTCCCTGAGACAGCTCACATGATCTGATTGGGGAGGTGGGAGGGGTGCATGGAGTAGTGGGAGAGGCTTGTGTCATGGGAGAGGCTTCTGTCATGGGAGAAGCAAGGCAGAAGAAGAAGAGGCCGGTGGGGAGATCCTTTGAGTCCGCCCACCCCATGTCCCTGAGACAGCTCACATGATCTGATTGGGGGAGCGGGGCGGGCGGAGGAGAAGGCAAGGAGGGAGGAGAGAAAAAGTGGGTGGGTCGGAAGGAAGAGAAAGGGAAGAATTGTTGGGGGCATGGTTAAGGAGCACCGTGGCTTAATAGGCTTAGACATATGCAACTGACACACGTTGTGGAGGCGGCAACAATGCAATGCAGCACAGGGAGTGCGGAACTGGCAAGGGGAGCCAATGAGTGCAAGGGCAGGAGGTGGTGTGTAAACCCTACACCCCTCCTTCAACTCACACTCGCGCTCGCACTGGTCGCAGAAGATGACGGTGTCGTCGCCAAAGCCCTGCGTGCCGTAGTGGCTGCCCCCGCAGATGGAGCAGCGGCATGCCGGACAGAACCAGTTGCCCCCCGGCAACGCCTGCTCGCCACGCATGGGGAGATGGGAACGTGAGGGGTTGGGAAAGTGAGGGGATGGGAAGGTGGGAAGATGGGGAAGTGAGGGGATGGGGAGGTGGGGGGATGGGGAGGTGGGAAGATGGAGAGGTCGGGGGATGAGGAGTTGGGGGGATGGGGACAAGATCGTAACCACGGACGTCAAGATTACAGGGTTCCTATGCACACGGGATGAGAGGGGCAAGCAGGAGGCACGAGAATGGAACACACCTGCAGGCCAGCGCAGGGCAGGTGCAGTGTGGCAGGGGACTTTTGAGTCGACTCAAAAGGCACGAGAATGGAACACACCTGCAGGCCAGCGCAGGGCAGGTGCAGTGTGGCAGGGCATGCATCGCAGCACAGCAGCTCGCCACCATCCCCACACAGCCTACACAGCACATCACTGTAGTCATTCCGCTCCCCCGCTCCCCCCTCCCCTTCCGCGCCCTCCCCGCCCCCCTCACCCCCTGCGCCTTTCACCTTCGACCCCAGCCCCTTCACTCTCACCACCTTCCTCGCCGCTGCCCCCTCCCCCTTCCCCTCCTCCCGCCCACCACCTGACGTTCCCCTCCCGCCTGCCTCCCTCACTGCGCCATTCCCCGCAGCCACCCCACCTCCATCCCCACCCCCAGCAGCGCTCACGCCTGCGCCTGTGCCTCCCCCATACGCGCTCCTCTCCGCCTCCATCTTGCACACGGCCAGCGTCCGCCCGTCCTCCAGAAACATATTCGCCGCGGGGCGCCTGTACGTCACCCCTGTGTGCGCCTCAAACCCAGAGAGGTTAAACATGCGTCCGCAGCAGTCGCACGTCACGCCCTGCCGCGACAGCCGCCCGCTCTTGAGCGCGCGCCTCTCCCGCATGTCCCTATACTCGACTGCCTCGCCGTCTCTCACCAGCCCTTGGTCTATCAGCCGCGCTAGGTCCCTCCCAGGCGGGTAGACCTTCGCTATAGAGTGCTTCTTGTGCGCGGGAGCCCTGCGCGCGGGGGGAACGTCCGCGCTGCCCGCGTGCTCCGCGGAGTCTGGGGCAAACCCACCTCCGGCTGCCTCCCCTGCTGCCTCGTCCGCTGCCCCAGGGGCCTCTCTCACCCGCAACTGCCGCGCCCTGCCTCTGCTGCCCTGCGCCTTGGTCCCCTTGCCGATCACCACTGCGCCCTCTCTCCGCCTCCCCGCGCAGCCCTCACCCGCCGCGTGCTTCCCCCCTGGCCCTCCCCCTCCGCCCATGCTCACTCGCTTCTGCTCCGTCACGCGCTTTCCCCTCGGCGCAACCCTGTCCAAGGGCGACCCAGCCTCGTGCTGATTCACCCCACTCGCCTCTCCCGCCTCTCCCGCCAATCTGCCGTCTCTCAACCCTCTCCCTTCTCTCGCCTGGCTCACATCAGACACTTCGTTCACCTCCCGTACGTGCTGCGATCCTGCGCCCCGTGAATGCAGCACGCCGAGCCCCGTGCCTGCGCCCGCACCGTGACCCAACCATAACCCTAACCCTAACCCTAAACCTGAGTCCCTGCGCCTGATCTTCTTTCCGCCGCTATAACGCCCCATGTCTGCCCTAGTAGTCGTATCCAGGCCACCAGAGGCCACCTTGGGAGTGTCGGCTGCAGCAGCATCAGGAACTGCTTCAGAGCCTCCATCCAAACTAGCCCCTGTTCTCAGTGTTATCGAGGCTGTCTGTTCGTGCGCAAGCTCGCTGCTAATCGCGCCGTTCTCATCCCCTCGACCATCCCCGCGCGGCTTCAAGCTAAGTCTCGCTACGCCGTTCTCGCAACCCGCGCTTCCGCTACCCGCAATCCTCGCTGCAGCCCCCTCCACCTTCCGCGGGTGCCACTCGCCCGTGCGCTCGTCCCAATCCTGACCGAACCGCAACAAACCGATCGCAACCGACTCCGACGTCGCTTCGTCGGGAAACTCCACGGGTACTTCCGTGCGCTTGCCGACGCGCACGACGTCCGCGAGGAGGAACCCCTCCCACCACGCGTCGTTACACAGCATGTCCACCGGCGCGCCCGCGCGCCACCGCCTGTACGACGGCACGTGCTCCTGCGGCGGGCGCGGCCGCAGCACCGGCTTCACCGCGCGGCCGTTCACCCCGTCCGCCGTTACCAGCTTCGCGAATTTCGCCATTGCGGACTCGATCAGAGTTTTCCACGGGGAATCGGGGGGTGGAGCCTGGCACGGAGTTCCCGAGGTAAAGTAGGACGCGAGAGGAATGGCTTCGACGAGCGGCTCGGAGAGGTCGTCTGTGATAAGCTCCTGGTACTGCACGACGCGCCAGCCGTCTTCCACACCCACCACCACCGCCGGGTGCCATGACCCGCGCAAACCCTCCTCCAGCTGCCGCACCTGCAGGGAATCGGCGGAGGGAAACGATGGAGATTCGTGCGGAAAGTGGAAATTGCGCCACTGAACGGCAGAAAATAAAACGAAGCTTGAGACAAAAATTCACGAAAAGTACGTGGTCGCAGCAGCGAAACGAGAACGACGGTAAGAAAGCAGACGCGAAGCTAAAATGAATACGTCTGGTGATACTATATTGAAGTATCACGGCGGCTATCCAATGCTACGCCTGGTGGACTTAATCGACTCAGACGCACGAATGAATCTCCTAATATCCAGATTCGTCACCTGCGCGACGGCAACGAAACGAAACTACAGGAAACGAAACGGATAAGATACCTCGACTTCCAAACCGACGGCCAACCGTCCTCCTTCTGAAATCTGATCCTGGCTGGAATCATCCGACGAAACCTCCACCACTGCGTCGTCTTCCGATTCAGCTGACGGCATCTTGCCAGGAAGCTGGACCTTCAAAAGGCCCCAACCTTCGCTATCGCAAAGCGCGACCATCCGTGACGGCCCGCATTGAGCGAGCGACACGGGACGAACGCCGCGCTACTTCAAGAATTCAAAATACTAAGCTGCTGTTAGCTACAAGAATCCTGCTTTTCACTTCTGATTATTGCTGCTGGTTTCTTGTTTCTCGCTTATTTCTGAGGCGGATGTAAGAATTGCTGCAGCAGGGTGGTTGGTGGATATGGGTGAGGCGGAGGGGTCTGCTCTGCACCCAACGACCGGTGGGATGAAGACCACGCCCCACAGAGTGATAATCGAGGGTCGATCGAACGCTCACGAATTTGATCTGTATTTCGGTTCCGTGACACTTGCTGGCTAGGGTTTCTTCTAACGAGGGTGCGGACAAGAACACTCGTCAGTCCCTCATTCATCTTCTTGTGTTAAATCTCGTTTAGAAAAAACATAAACAGCAGCAAGCATCTTCTTGTGTTAAATCTCGTGTATAGATACTTTTAAGTTAACAGTCAAAATCATATCCTAACCTAATTTGGAAACTTTTGAAGGGCTCCAACTGAAGCTATTCTATGGAACGATGGAAAGATGCTCACTAAGCTCCCAGCGAAACTAGCTCCATGAGGGGAAGGGAGCACACCTTGTGGCGTGCCTACGTCGTATGCATCAAAAAGTGATGCCCCTGCTCCTGTTACCTGCACGCTGCCTACGCCGGGGTCACACGGCGATATTAACGCAATTGGAACTTGGGCTCCGGGAGTTCCTGCAGATCTGTTACCTTCATAGACGATCCTGTCAAGCCGGCACCTACCCAAGGCTGCCGTGTGACAGTTCCCTAATGGCTGAGGTGTCGTGTCAAATGCTGTGAGTTCTCCTATGACTGTATGAGCCCCCGCAGCTGGTGCAGGCGTCAGTGTTGCTCCTGAAGATAGTGTCAGTTTGTTTGTGGGTGTCAGAAGGCTGGACGGAGTGAAAGGGATCATTTTAGGACTGGGCAGGATGAGAGGCGATTCGTCAAGAGAGGAGTCGGCTGACCAGAGGTTGGTGGGATCAGTACCTTCCCACATGCTGCAAGCAACAACCAAGCAGAAAATGACAGGAGAGGTAAACTGAGATTATTGAGAAGGCCAGAAAAGCTGTCAAAGAGACACAAGGAACATGAAACAAGGTGACTGACCAGTAAAATCATGCGGGTAACTAACCTGTTGATGAGCGCGAGGGGGCTGGGCAATTTCTCAGACACCATGGTGGTATCAGCCGTCGCGCCTGCTGCCAGGTTGCTCCCTCCACCCACACCCAGACCTGCAGGAACGTCCATCCCAGCTACAGCGCTGACAGTGGCATCTGCTTCAGTGTCCCCAGGAAGGCACGGGATGATGAGGCGAGGGGGCATTCTGAACCCTGCTCTCACCCGCCCTGCACTGCCAAGCAGCGCAGTCAGCCGTGTCAATGCAGCCTGAGTGCTTGGCTGTGACCTAGTCAGGCCAGCTTCTAAGCACGCAGGAGGGGGCATTGCCGTATTATCAGTCACGCCCCTGCTGGGCTGACTGCGCGTGGCGCCTGTGGAGACTGTGGTGCCTGCGTTGATGCTACCAACCTCCACCTCGCCCCCTTGTCCCATCCCAGCTTGATCTTCCCCGTCAACGCCAGACCCTTCCCGCCATGCGCGGCCTGGGCGCGGACTGCGCCATTTTGCCTCCGCTTCCGCCAGTACCCTGGGCGTTGTGCGCGCGGGCACCGCCAAGGGAGCAAGCGCAAGGGGCTCAGAAGGCAGTGGCGGGCTCGCCGGGAAGTGGGCGGAAGGGCTGTCGCAGGGGGAAGCGGAAGAAGCGGAAGGACTATCGTCGTCGGCGGAGGGAGTCCTGGGGGAAGCTTCTCCCGCTGGTGCGAAAGGGGAAGTGATGGCGGAAGGGGGGAGGTTGCACGGGGAGGGAGGCGCACCGGGAGGTGCGCGGGGAGCGGGACGGGGAGCGGCGGGGGCGTGGAGGGGAGGGAGGAGCTGGGAGGAGGAACCGGTGGGCGACGCGAAACCCGCGTCGTGCGTCGACTCATCCACGCGACGACGTTTTGACAGAGGTTCATCAACGCTTTGCGCCGATGCTACCGCCAGCGGAGCAGGCCCCGCGGGGACTCCCTTTCGCGGATCCTCCCCCAGAGCGGCGGCGAGGAGGCTAGAGGGGGCGAGCAGGGGCGGCGCGGAGGGCAGCGGGAGGTGCAAGTCGGGATCGACGCCGAGGTCCCTCAGTCGCCGCTTTAATCGAGTGTTCCAGTGGTTCTTAATGTCGTTGTCGGTGCGCCCCGGCATCTCGAGCGCGATCTTCGCCCAACGGTTGCCCATCTGACGGTGCAGGCGCACCACGAGATCCTCCTCGTCGCGCGAAAACGCGCCTCGCTTCAAGTCGGGCCGCAGGTAGTTGGTCCATCGCAGGCGACAGCTCTTGCCGCACCGCTGCAACCCTGTGACGCGGAGTGGAGGAGATAAGAGGAAGGGAGAAGAGGGGGTGTTGAGCGGTGTCCGGTACGGAACGACGAAAAAGCGGAGTGGAACTAGGGGTGACGACAATGGCGAAGGTGGGGAACGGGCGGAACATGGAAAACAATTAGCTTGGAGATCAAGCTTGGTCAAGACAACCCATGGTGGAACATTCGGGCGTAGAAGCTGGCATCGATTCGCATGCAGCCAGCCCGCGTCTACTGTGATCGCTTGTGTGCGTTTTGGGTTTTGCTTGCCATTAACTTACACCTACACTCTATGCGAGCTACATCCACGTACCGGCTTTCCTGGGAATGGCGCTCCAGTTGCCGTCGCCGTGTTCCGCGATGCATTTCACGAGCAGCTCGTCCTCCTCCGCCGTCCACGACCCTTTTCTCAACTCCGCCTTGTCGCCGCCACACGTGCTTGCACGGGCCATTCTGCTACGAGGAATACGCGCATGCGCGACAAGACACGCGTTTGCTTTTTGGGTTGATCAATGTCGCTGTGGCGTAGCTGGTCGATAGACTACGAGGTGTTTGCTGGTTTCGGAATTGTCAGCATCAGAGTCGTGCAAAGAGCGAAGCAGTTTGGCGTAGCCTGTGAAAAGGTGAAAACCAACAACTAGGGTGCACGCACATTGGTCTAGGGAATGGAGGGTTGTGCTTGCTCTATTATGCCTTGCTGTGTGTCCTGCATTTCCGTCTCGCGAATTTTTGAACGCCCTCGACAAAATTCGCCCCTCGTTCCGCGCGATTCGTCCCTCAAATTCCCCACACCGCGACTCCGCTCCGCGCTGTCCTTGTGGGGGGGAACGGGAAGGAGGGGTACTGTAGTGGGGGAAGAAAAAACGGCCATTATCATAGATACTCAAAGTATTCCCGAGTGGTTTGTCAGGTGTAATCACAAACAGAAACACAGTTTCGCGATATAGTAGTACTTGTTTATTGTTGCTCTCTGAATACAGTCGCTACAGAAAATGCAGCACCTGAAAATAAAAACTTGTAGCGAACCTAGATGAATTTCGAGACAGATCAACCCTAACTACGGGAAGCCGCCCACTTCAGGAGAAATATATTGCACTTTCTTGACCCAAAAAATAGCACTTATTCGGAATGGGATACGACTCGGGAGGCATCAACCCTAAAAACAATGCCCTTTCCCGTGTTTAGGGTTGATCCCTCCCGAAAATTCGTCCAGATTCTATAGGGGTTTAGTTTTTTCTGCCCTGTCGTAAACTTACGTACTTTAATTTAACAAATTCAGGTCGGGAGGGTAACTATAATTTTGTTTTTTGTCACTTATTAAAGATTTCGACCAGCGTAAACAATGTGACCAAAAAACGACAACCAATCAAAGTTGAGAATGTCCAGGTTGAACACACCTGAGATTCTACTCGGGAAGAATCTGAGTATGTATGAAGTTGGCCGAAGAATAAAGCTGGGGCAGGAGACACCGAGACTGACCTTTCGCCAGCTGGAGGAAGCGGGGGTTTTTTTGGACCAGAGGGGGGAAACTCCACGTCAACTAGACAGGCCATTTATCAACTGTTACCGATCTATCCAGTAGCTTCCAGTAGCACGAACCCACGTAGATCGGAACCCGTCATCAATGCGACGTCCAGCGAGGACTCGCACGGTTCTCCTCAACCCGACACGAGCACAAGCTTCTGCCACGCCAAGGCGGCTGCAGGCATGGAGCTGACGACGCAGCATCACGCGACTGTCTACACGCTGTCGTACAGCTGTAACCAATCTTGCCAAAGTTTCACAAAAAATGTGGGTGTGTGAATCACTGAAGATAACAGCCCAAAAAGTTGAAGCCTAACATCTTGGTTCACAGCCGAAGAACCGCAAGTGTCGCACTGTAGATCGTAACATCTGGTGGAGTCAAAGCCTACGGGCAGACGATAATCTATAACCAACTTGTGAACCAGCACCATTGACGGTGCCATTCGAATGGCAGCCTCAAGTTGAAATCAGAGTGAGGAGGACAACGCGAGTTGTGGATTGCTTGCGAGACAGATCGAATGTCCATCCAGATAGCATCTTCGTGGGAGAGCGCAGCCATCTCCTCTTCACTTTTGGCGTGAACTGCAGGCCTCAGATCGTGTGGCCAGAATGCACCTCATCCTCCTCCCAACGAGGCTTGAAGCTCATCCACGGTCAAAGGATAGGATTCACTGTTGACGCCAGCTCTTGACTTCACAGCTGCATCTCACACGCGTTGCAATCGTAGAAAAGGCACTTGTTGTCGTGGCGGAGGGGGAACATGACGTCAAGTTCCAACCAACATGGAACTTTCATCTTCCAACACAACACAAACCACAACACGCATACGCTGTATTGTTCTAGCTTTTATTGATAGACTTTAAGGAACTAGATACACCTTCACACCCAAAGGCTCTATAGGACCAAAACAGACGTCCAGATCATATAACACCTCTAGACATAATCACACGGACAATACATACATTAGTACATATGTCAATGGTGCCTTCGAATATTACACCACTTTCGACATAAAACTCCTTCGAAATTGCCCCCTTATGCAAATATTGACGACCTAAAATTTCGACCCCGGTCACATCCTTTGTGTCATCACCAACTACTCGCATGGGCTGGAAAACCACTTAATCCTCGCGCACAAAAGGGATGCAGCTCAGGTGGAGACTACATGAACTCGGCAACGGAGGTCGAAGAGTGGGTCAACCACATGTATATCATGAAATATATTTCTATATAATTGCTTTTTGCATTAACATCACGTAGTGTAGCCCAATGCTGGTGGTGTGTCAGAATGTTATTCTCTAGCCTGTAGTGGGGTGCTCTATAGCGAGTACAACCCATCTGGGGTTTGCTATATGTATCCTCATTGCTGCTAGTGAAACCCCTCCTTCATTCTCGTTAAATTTCACATGGTGCACCCCTTGCATGCTTGCTATAACTTGTAACTCTTCTCTTGGTGAACCCCTATTCTCAACTCTCTCGATACTCACGCTAGTACCCAGAACCCTAGCCATGGTTCCTACGTCTAATCAGTTCCTTTCAACATGCTATCAGAGCCGGTCCTTCCTATCAAAATTAGAAGGAAGAAAGAGGGTTGAACTAGCAGAAATGGGGATACAAATAGCAAACCCTAGAAGGGTTGTACTCGCTATAGAGCACCCCACTACAGGCTAGAACAATAAGATAATATTCTGACACACCCCCATAGCCAAAGTGGGGTGTAATCAGCAGAGCAGGCAAAGCAAAACAAGCTCAGGGTGGATCACAATGTCACCACACATTCTGAGCACAAGTTCAAGAAGAAATAGTTTAGAGTTTACAATTATAAGCAAAGCTAGTGGTAGTCACAACGGGCAAGTGAGGAGGAGGAGGGAGAGTGAGGGGAGAGGAGACAGGAGGCGACGGCTGAAGCTGCAGACACACGGGCAACAGGAGGCAGACTGGCACAGCGGCTACCGGACAGCGCCCGGACTACAGGGGTAACAGGCCCCGCGGCTCAAATAGCGGCGGACGGGCAACGGACCCACGGGCGGCTGGCACAGCTGGCTACGACTGGGCTACCGGGACAGCGCCCCGGACTACAGGTGCTGCTGACGACAAACTGGCAACCCCCGCTCATCCTCCCGCACACAGTCCCACCCCCCTGATACACACCCACTGCTACACCACTAGCTCTACTCCCACGCACCCCCCTTAAACCCTAAACCCAGTCTCCCACACAACCACCCCCCTCAGCGACAGCTGCAGCAGTGGGAGACGAAGGAGGAGGAGGAGAAAGGGAGGAAGGCACACCGACCACCCCCATACCCGCCACCCCACAGCTCGCCCGCGGCCCCCGAAGGAGCCGCGACAGGCGACGGGAAATGGGGGGGAGGGTGGGGTGTGGAGGAAAGGGCCCACCACGGACCTGATTGGAGGGCGGGGCCGCGACGTAGGGCGGGGCCGCTTCGAGGGGCGGGGCCGCGACGCAGGGCGGGGCCGCATCGTAGGGCGGGGCCGCGACAGGTCGGCGGCGGGGCCGCGACGTAGGGCGGGACCGCGACGTAGGGCGGGGCCGCGACAGTAGGGCGGGGCCGCGACGAGGGCGGGGCCGCGACGGTCGGGGCGGGGCCGCGACATAGGGCGGGGCCGCGACGTAGGGCGGGGCCGCGACAAGGGGCGGGGCCGCGACGGTCGGGCAGGGCCGCTTCGAGGGGCGGGGCCGCGACGTAGGGCGGGGCCGCGACGTAGGGCGGGGCCGCGACGGTCGGGCAGGGCCGCAACGTAGGGCAGACGCCCGCCGCGCGCCTCGGGGTGCACAGCGGGCAAAGAACCGCCGCGCGCCCCGGGGCGCACGGCGGGCAGAAAACCGCCGCGCGCCTCGGGGCGCACGGCGGGAAGGAAAACCGCCGCGCGCCTCGGGGCGCACGGCGGGAAGGAAAGGTAGCAGCGGAAGCAAGGTGGGGACACACCCACAGGGTCGATCCAAGGGGATCGACCTGCTCTGATAGCATATCAAAATTAGAAGGAAGAAAGAGGGTTGAACTAGCAGAAATGGGGATACAAATAGCAAACCCTAGAAGGGTTGTACTCGCTATAGAGCACCCCACTACAGGCTAGAACAATAAGATAATATTCTGACACTTCCTAGGACCTAATCATCATGGGCCCACCAAACGCGCCATCGTCCATGGCGGTCTACTGTTCTGCTTTCGCGGTTGCTACTGCCAGTGGCATGATATCTGCAAATGCTGACGCTGTATTTGCTGCACTAGTCGCGCTGCCCCATCGCCCCGTCGACCCTCCTGTCATGGCGACGAGCTGGGCGGCTCACGCTGCCCCGTCGTCCCGTCGCCATGTCACCCGCCTCGTTCCGCGCTGCCCCGCCCCTCGTTCCGTTACGAGCAGCCGGAGGAACCACGCACAGCCGCACGCAGCTGTTAGAATGCGTTATTTGTCTAGTTGGTAGTGGGGTACTCTATAGTGAGTACAACCCAACTAGGGTTTGGTATATGTATCCCATTGCTTGCTAGTGAATGCCCCTCTTTTCTGTTTCAACCTTGTGCCTACTATTCTGACATGCTATAAGAGCGAGATCGCTCCTGGCCTGTGGACCCACCGCTTCCACTGCTGTCCTACCTGTCGCGCGCCTTGGGCCCGCGATGTCTTCTGCCTGCCGCACGCCCTGCGCGCGTGGCGTTTTTTCTTCCCGCCGCGTGCTCGGGGCGCGCGGCGGTTTTCTGCCCGCCACATGCCCCGGGCGCGCGTGGCGGTTTCGTCGCCCGACGCGGCGCCCCGGTGACCCGCGTGCTGTCCCCTCCCGTCGCCCGCCGCGGCGTCTCGGGGGCCTGCGCGCCGCCCCCCTCCTGTTGCCCGTCGAAGCGCCTCGGAGGCCCGCGCGCCGCCCTGCTCGCCCGCCGCGGCGCCCTGGGGGCCTGCGCGTCGCCCCCCC